AAATTTTGCAGTGCTTTCCGTATTGCCACGCATGTTTCTATTATTATCTCTCCGAGTGCCTGAGGAGATACTCTCATTGAAAATGTCAAATCTTGAAAACTTCTCCCAGTTGCCAGGAACCGAAGAGTCGCAATCAGTCTCACATGCGGTGATATTGCTTCTCTCAAGACTGTGTCCTTTTTTCCCAATGAGGGGAACAACTTTGCTCAATAAAATTTGAAATGCATTTTCGTCCATCCTTAGGTAATTTTTATAATCGTTAATTTCCCCTCCTTCTTGTAACTCATTCAGTAAATGGTAATCACTGGGCAAAACGCTTCTTTGCAGATACCAATCTTTGCACCAACATTCACGGCGTTTTTTTCCTTTTGCCTTCTTCTTCTAGCAACACTGCAGCAATTATGCAACAAACTGCAGCTCTTCTTTTTCTGTCACCCATTGAACTTTATTTATTTTAGAACACAACCAAACCTGTCGAAAGTGAAGAGAGAACTGAAGAAAAATCGGACTGAACTGAGGCAAAAACTGAAGGTATCCTACACACCTTCAGTTCAGATAAATGTACAGATTTTCACACAGTTATTTACGACAGATAACTGCACAGATAAACTGAAGGTGTGTAGTCACAACCATCATTCAGTCACCCTACCATTCAACGATAAGTGAGCAATGGAGTTGAAAGAGCCTTGTTAAATAAACGAGAATCGATTAAAAATACTGTATCCTGAGATATAGCGTCGAGTAGCCCGTTGAAAGTTAACCCATGTTTCGGAGGAACGTATCGCTTCTACCTTTATGGTCGCAGAATAATCTGAGCAAGAAACCAGAGCTAAAGCAGGTGGCAAGCAGAACTCCTTTGTAAGAACTAACAAAACAGAATAGAAAGCAAACTATGTACTAATTTAATTCTGCATGCGATGATTTATATTGCGTCAAGTAAAGAGCCAGTTTCACAAAATGTTCCATGAAAATATATTGCTAACAATAGATGATTGAAAGCTTCCCATACCCTTGACATCTTTCAGTTCGAAGGACTTACCGTCCGCCTGAAAATACGTGGTTCTTAAAAAAAATCCCAGTAGCTTCATGATGGCCTCGAATTGCGAGGTAGACCGTTCTTCTAATATTTTATCGTTATTTAGCTTATTTCTGATGATTTATAGCGCTTCGTCTACTGGTACATTAGTTAAAAGTCTAGCAAAAACAGAGCTAACGAGGGTATCTAGAATGTAAAGGTTTACGGACTTCAACGATGGTATGAAGTGTCCCCAAATTCTTTACGAAATTTGTTGACTTTCTAGCAAAGGGTCTCAATAATATTTGAAGAAAACCAATCAGGGTATAGCCAGGGTAACCACTAAAACTCTATAGGTCTCAGAGGAATGTCTGTGTGTGAATCTTGAGAGCCCATACAGATGTAGAAATTTACTATATTAAAGTCAGACGTATAGGGAATTGTTATAACATTATGACTAAATTAAAATTAAACAAAATCTTTAGGGTTCATTCGCGAAAAGCGGGATGGAAAGAGTTCCGCAACAGACGGCAAAATGAGTCTGCAGAATTGCCTGTGAATGTGGAAGAAGCTACATTGGCGAAACAGACAAACCTCTAACCACGTGACTTCGTGATCATAAGCACAATCTCGAAGAGAGTCTTCTACAAAAATAAAAATTAGGCAAATATGCCTATGAAGAGGGTCATAGGGTAGGCCGGGATGAAGCCAGAATTTTGGAGATTGAAAGTAACAGCAAGTAAAGAAAGTAGGAGGTATCGGCCCACATGGCATGCTTAGCCAGTCCAATCAGCCAATCCAGTCACGACTTTCCTCCCATTTGAGTCCCCTTTACCAGCAATGAGGTCAGCAACTCACAGATGAGATCATGGATTTCTACAAGATTTTAATCCCGAGGGACCAGAGGGAGGTAAAAAATGGTTTCACAACTTTCTATAATTAAACTTGCGCATTGTGTTTTGAAGACTCAATTTATCGACGAGGTTTCTTGCTTTAGATTTTCACCTTCTTTTCTCTATTAGCTTCAGGTTTGTGCATGCTTTTTCACAATTATGTGAAATTTTTCCTAGTACCTTCCATTGACGAATCTTGGTCTCAGGTTTTTATGTAGCTTTATTTATACTGGCATACGTTGTCCAGTGATTGGGGTTAGCTCTTTCTAACGATACCTTCCACACCCCTAGCCGGACGGAAACAGATCCAGTTTCCGAAAAGCTTTCTACAATTCCAGATGATGGACAAAGTACAAAAACCCGATAATTCCGACTGAGGGCTTTCACATCTATTCCGTCATCCTTACAGGATTCCGAAGGTTTTCAACGCTCTACTGTGCTAGAAAGGTAAGGTAAAATAATCTCTGTGCTAAACGAATTAAGCACTACGCCATGAAGGCGTATGGGGAGTGAATGTAAAGATCTACATTTTCTTGACCTCGACACTAGCTGCAGGTGAGTGGTCAGCTTCACGTCCCCGCCGCTTTACCCCTGGGAAAGAGCACCCGGTACCCATTGGATAGGAGTTTGGGTGGACTCCAGAGTCGGTCTGGACGATTTGAAGAAGCGAAAATTCTTGACCCTACGGGACTCGAACTCCGACCCCTCAGTTGTCCAGCCCGTAGCAAGTCGATACCGACTACACTAACCCTGCTCCACTGTGCTGGAGCAAGTTTCATTTCTTCGGAAACCAGAAATTGAGTTGTTTATTTTTACTCCTTTATCGTATTGTAGTTTTGAGGATTGCTGCCATTTCGAGGTTACTTTATTCATTTTCTATTTGTGACATACTGCATAAGTTTGTTTTAGTTGTCTTTGGTTTGATAGTGCCACGTGCGATAAGCTGAACGAACTGCCACACTGTTTGATACCTCGGGAGCTCGAGAGACTTATGTGCGCTCTAGTGGTCGTGTTCCTATATTAGATTTAAGATCAACATCGGAACCGGAACTGGATGTCGTACAACGCCTACAACCTTTGACGACAAGAAAAGGCAACAAAGTACATATCTGAAATGGCAGTGTAAGTGCGTGAAAATTATTGCGTTCAATTTTGTAAATAAGTTCAGCTGTTCGATTGTGATATAGAAGTGTAGAGACGGTGGCAAGGAACACTGCGAGACATGTTATTGAATGTGTAGGCGGCCTTGTTTAATATTTCACAATAAGTATGGCCTAAAATTTATGAAAATTTGTATGGGGAGCAAATAAGACGTTGCCAGTGGTGTTCCGAAACATTGTACTAGTTTCGTAGTATGCCTAGAGGTGAAGTCTTATGTTACGGTACAGCAGTACGTAATTCAATCTTTTCAAAATGTAGTAGTAGTAGTAGTAGTAGTAGTACCAGCAGCGATGGTGGTAGTTGTAGTAGTAGTAGTAGTAGTAGTAGTAGTAGTAGTAGTAGTAGTAGTAGTAGTAGCAGCAGCAGAGCGGTTGTGATGATGGTAGGTCTGTAAGTCGAAGCCTGTGCTGTAGAAATCCAGAAGGTAGGTTGTTAGATTTTGATGGTTTCCTTCCTCCTGTTTCTGAGAAATTTTAGTTCTCTTCTTAACACTAACAGAACCATATCTTGATGCAAGACTGCTGCTTAGTTTCTTAATTTTTTTAAAGTTAAGCAGTGGATGTGTTGTCTTTGGATTCTGAAAATAGTCCGAGAGCACATTAAAGAAAGAGGCCTGCTTAACGCAAGCCGTCACAGCACAACAGTGCAATGTATGATGCTGACAGACCATGTGACCCTTAATTTCAGTAATAGTATGTCTACGGCCACTGGGTTCTTGGACACCGAAAAACCCTTTGATATCACATGCCACACTGGCTTGGTATATAAGTTATCTAAATTGGAATTTAGACAGAGTCATAGATCAGAATTGAGTGAGTCCTAGGCATTCATGGAAGAAGGATTAAACCAAAGATTTATTGTTGTTACAATTGATTGGACAAGGAGTGATCAATAAATCCAATTAAGTCACCCATACATGTGACAATATCGTTCATTTGCATATTCTTAGAATTGCTTCAGAATTTTAAGGAGACCTTAATGATTTAAATTGCTTTATGGTTTCAAGCCATCTTTAATAATAAAAAAAAATGATGCTTGCCATGCTTCATCTGAAATCATTACAGAGAGACAAAGAACGTGAATTGGTGAAGGTTAGTATATTATTTTACAAAAGATTCTTCTCGCACTAGTAAACTAATAATTCCAGCAAAAGCAAGACATTAATTACTGTGATTACTAAGAACCAACAAAGTGCTGAGGAGAAATTTCATGCCGCATGAGTAAGAACCTGAATATAAACGATGTTAGAACCATAGATCATCAGTTTTATGATAGTTTAATATTCTAGAGTTAAATAAGATCATAATGTTCAAACAATTCCAAACTTGCCTTATAAGGTACTCAAGGTATCATTGAATTTGTGAAAATGGAGAAAACCTTGAGTTTTGAAAATTTGCAGTTTGAGTAAAAGAAGAATGCATAATGCAATTTTAATTGTTTAGTAAGTTGTAGCCAAATTGGATGTTTTCCATTTTGCATTGGCAGTGGTCTGTGATGAACTAATGGCGTGTTGATCAACCCACAGTGAGATAATTATCCATGTGGTAAAGTCTAGTTTTAGATTGGAAAGTGTGATATTCTGTTGCCCAGCCCTGTGGCCTTTGCATAAAGTAACATAGCTTAAAAACGTGGGTATAAGAAGGAGTCACATGCAGAGGAGATACACAGTGATTAGCTTGAGGTGTCACAAATCACAATTCCAGAAGATGCAAGGTAAAGTTGTCCCTGTGTTTAACTAATTAAGCACTACACCATGAAGGCATATAATAGTGGATTTATAGACCCACATTTTCTTGACCTTGACACTGTTTGGAAGGGAGTGGTGAGCTTCATGCCCTGGCTTCTTTACCCCCAGGGTAAAGAATAGGATAGGAGGTTGGGTGGACTCCAGAGCTGGTGTGAGAGACATGGAGAAGTGAAAATTCTTGACCCTACTGGGACTCAAAACTCCAACCCTTCCATCGTCCTGCCAGTAGCAAATTGCTATACTGACTGCACTATCCTGGCTCACATTCCATAAGAATGAGACAGGTAATATTGGAAGATTTGAGCCACAGAATAGTGGAAGGTTCTCTTCAATAATGCAGTTACGTATTTGAGTCAAGTTTTAAAGGACCAGTAAGTCTTTCAGCATCCTAATGAGTGCGACAGCACTAGTGCAACCAATTGTATACCACAGACACATTGAATTATCGTGGTGTAATGTTCATATTGTCAAGAAGGACAGCTGCTATTATAAAATCTCTAATTTTGTATTTAATTTTTTTATGCGCTTATTGGAGTTGATTGCCTCTGTGGTCTAGTGGTCAGCGTTCCTGGCTACAGATCCAGAGGTCCGGGTTCGATTCCCGGTGGTATCAGATTTTTTCTGAGAAGTGGATCAGGAATGGTGTCCACTCAGCCTCGTGATGATAATTGAGGAGCCGTTTCAAGGAAATAGCGGGTGCGGTCTAGAAAACCGAAATTAATGGCCGTGGGGATTCGTTGGGCTGACCACGTGACACCTGCAAAAGTTGGCACTAAACTTCGCCGATAAGTGGCGGTTGCTCGGTTGGTATAGTTCTTTTGCAGACTAAAATTTCGGAGTTTTTTTCTTCTTCTTTTGTATTGGAGTCTGTAAAGAGTACATCAGTTGGTTTGAAATAATGTTCAGTTGAATACCTTAATACTAACACTGCTCTTTTCCAACCTGGCTTTTGTTTATATCAGCTCAGTCGGAATGGTGCTATCCCTGCTACTCCTGTTTCTACCTTAGGATAGTGTATGATGATCACTGTAAGTTGTCCTCGCAGATCAAACTAAGGAAGGTCGGTATAGGTACAGGAAACTAGCTGGGTCGGTTAGCATGAGACTCAAGGTAGTGATGCCAAATTAAGCGGTATTCTGGGAGTTAATCCAACTTTATGTTTATTCACTTATTGTTATCGAAACCACACTGTTAATTTATTGTATGCTTATGCTTTAGATTATAGCACGTTACTCGATCCGCAAACTGTGTCTCGGAGCGTGCAAGGGTCACGCCCCTACACTTCAGAATTGGGTGAAGGACTCATTTGTGGAATGGCTTGCACATCCCCATGCTGGGAATTCAAAAGAATTCGAATTCTCCATGGTGCAGACATATACATGTCATTCCATCTTCCGTAGGGAAGTTTGAATGAGGCATCTCAATCATAATGACCCTCATTCACAGGCAATTGTAACGAGTTTTGACCTGTCCTTCTCATTGACTTTTTGTAGGCGTGTCTGGTTTCCTGTACCCGAGCTAAATTTATGACTGCTCATAATGTCAAAACTCCGGACTCCTTGGTCCTGCCAGAACCTAGAATTTCAACATGAACACCGTATTGCACATCCCAGACAATGAAATACGATATTATGCGTGTAGATTCACAATATAGTTCCAGTAACATTGAAATATAAGACTTGAATTTAGAATTACCAAGAATAAATTAGAAATCAAGTTCATGGTCATTTATAATCATCCAAATAAATAAGGGCTAAGACTGATCAGCGTCAGTACATCATTTCTTCCAGCCTTGCCATGCAGTTTATATAAGATTACATTAATCAGTGTTTCATGATCATAACTTTCATAATTTTTTTTGTGATTCCAGATTTGACACATTGCATTGTACTGTGAAGAAACCTATTCTGCACTATGGATGTAATGAACGTGGATACTGAGAATAAAGGATGTACTGGTGAAATGGAAGTCCAGATCCCTAATACGAAATCTGTGTTGGTAACTGAATTTGTAAACTGGGCACAGAAAAAGAACAATCTTTTTAAATTACTTCAAGACTCAGTATGTGATGATGGTCGTATTTGCTTGGAATTTAGCATTGGAACAGATAAAAATTTTACACTTTTTTGTCCATCAGAATATCCTCATTATGAAGATAATTTCTTTGTTGAAGCTACAACGTCACTTCAGTTCTGGTGCAATGCATTAAATGAGTTTATTCTTGATGCAGATGTGTTGCTGTCCCTTGAAACCATATTAGAGAAAGCTGCATCCCTCTACTGTAACAAGAAATCAAGCAGGTCACCGTGTATAAGCTCTTCAGAGTCTGACCCTGAGGGGGATTTGGGTGAAGAATTTATGGTGGTTGATGGTGACTCTGAAGAGGGAGAAGAATGGGAGCACGTACTTTGTCAGAAGAAAAAGATGTGGCGCATAAAGGAAGCAGAACTGAGAGCAGCCACTAAGCAACCAAAAATGTCTGACATGTTTGATGGAAATGTAAAAGATCATCCAAAACAGGTGTTCAGTAACTCTGCAGCATCTGGAATACTAACAAATGACTTAGTTGCAATTATGGAGTCAAAACACAAGACTGGAATCAATGCAGAGCCTATTGATGACAATATCTATAAGTGGGCAGTGTTCCTCTCTTCTTTTGATTCTCAGGGAAATTTGAATCAGGATTTGCTACAGTTGTATCAGAAATATGGTTATAATTATGTAGAGCTGCAGCTTGATTTTACAATGGATCTTTATCCTTTCTACCCACCAGTTGTAAAGGTTGTCCGCCCACGACTACAAGGTTCCATGATGTTGCGTGTTGCTAGTATGGACATGTTGAAGCTGTCTCATTGGAATCCTGCAAGAGATATGAAATCTGTTTTACAAGAGATCAAAGATTATTTAAGCACATGGGCAAGACTTGACTTGAACAGTGAACGCAATGATGACCAGCGCTTCCCTCAAGGTGCTTATATTGAAATGGAAAATTACCTTCTTTGGCTAGCATGGGTAAGTGAAATCCCTTCACGTGCCCACCAACGATTCCCAGAAGCAGAACATGAAAGGTTATTGTCTCATGCACCTGACAGTGACAGAAAAAAATGTCAAGAGAAGTCTCCGTTTCCTGCTGGGACAGGCTACAGCTCATCTTTCCATAAAGGGTGGGACATAAATGCATATCTGGCTGCTCAGAGGGAGAAAGATAAACAGATAGAATGTGTGCTGCAGAAAATTCTGCAAGAACTTAAAAAAGGTTCAGACTCAAACAGTGATGATGTAGTGCATAGAAATCCCTTTGGTGTTGATGGTACATATACCAGCTTCACAATTCCATCCTGCAGTTCAAATTTGTCAGCGATGGAAGTTACAGAAAAGAAATGTAGTGATAATCATTGCAAAGCAGTGTGTGAGAGCAGTCTTGTAGCTGCAGCACCAAAGAAGCAATGTCTTGTGGATTTTGAACCTGATGGTATTCTTTCAGAATATCAGGTTACTTCTAAAAAGTGGAACTCAGAAGTTTGCAGTCAGCAGAATGGTAAGAGCCCTGTAGACCCAACAGAAGATCTATTCAATGTTTTGGAGGCCTCCACATTAGTGCCTTTCCTAGAATCAAAGCTGCAAGTAGATTCATTTCTTGAAATTTGTCAGCATACAGCAGTTTATCGCTGTGTTGTTGATATTATTAGTGAAATTGCTTCAAGACCAAAACTTGTTGGTTTGTTATGGAGTCTGCCAGACCAAGTGCAGTCCATCTACACATTGGTGAGTAGATTGGAAGAGAAGGCAAAAGCTATTTTAGTACAACTCACAAAAACATCAGCAAATGGAAATATTCCAACTACTGCATCAGCCAAGAAAATCAGTAACAAAAGTTCAAATAATGGTTCAGGCTGTGTTGAAGCTCCAGAAGAGGAAAGGCTGGCACGGGACTTCTATCAGATGAGTCACACAGTTTCAGCTGCTCTGGTAAACCAAGGTCTCCTTGCAACGTATGATAAAGATCAGTCATCCACTTCTCAGCAGTCTCCTAGATCACAGTCACCAACAGCAAGCAGTCTGGACTGTGATCAGACCTTAACCCAGACATACAAGGAAGCACTAAAAGACTTGCAGTATTTGAGTTGTGACATTGAAGGCAAGTGTTTACTTCCAAATAATAATTTGGTTAGAGTAGGTTCATGTTGTCAGTAAGAGTTTAATATGCAGTGATTTTACAGATGCTTCAGTTTTGTTTGTTTCTGTCAACTTTTCGTTGCAGGATGACTTTCACTTTACATGTGTATGTTGTGTTCTTGACATCAGTTATGTTAGTAGTCTGATCTTTCACCTACACTTCTGTACTCATTGTAATATAATTACTTGTGGTTAAATGAAAACTCCACAGAATAGAGTCTGCAATGCGTGTGTAAGACATACCCAACTGTGACTGATAGACAATTATTAGTTCACATTTCTTCACACTGAAGGGTTAGTCTTTAAGTGCCTGCTAATTTATTTTGTAATACTGTGTTGTAGGCTTTGTGCCTTTATGTTATGAGAATTTACCACAGTGCTTGTATAGTAATTTGTTTTACTGTGTAGCTTTCATTTATTTTATCACTATTTTTGGTTTTTGTTGGAAGGATCAAAACAACCATCACAGATGCTGTAGAATTGCCTCCTAAGACTGTTTCAGTTGCCTGTTTATTTTAGTGGAAGGTGCAAGTGCACATCACTTCAGCACCCATTTTAAAAAGGCCCTCCCTCCAAATTCTGCGCAGGTGATAAGGATTGCACACGAAATGGCTGCGTTGTCAACCTCTCTGCCCCTTGATCTAGGATCAGCCATTTTCATTCGTACAGTAAGTGTTAGATAGCCTGTTTGCTAATGACCAGGGATTTGAAAATTCCTCCTAGACTCACTCACCAGTAAAGAAAATTATGTGTCACATTCCCTAAAGAACATATAAAAAATAGGAGATACTAACAGTATATTTCAAATATGAGCCAGGATAGCGCAGTTCTTATAGCGACTGGCTACACGTTGGACGAATGAGGGGTCAGATTTCAGGTCCCAGTAGGGTCAAGAATTTTCTCTACTCCAAGTCATCCAGACTGGCTCTGAGGTCCACCCAACCTCCTATCCAATGGGTTCCGGGGCTCTTTCCCCAGGAGTAAAGCTGCCGGGGTGTGAAGCTGACCAGTCATGTCCAACTAGTGCTGAGGTCAAGGAAACGTGGGTCTATACATCCACTCCCCCATACGCCTTCATGGTGGAGTGCTTAATCAGTTAAGCACATGGACTTTACCTTAATAGATAATGTATTTGTGATAGTTTTTGGAAGTGACAAGTAATGGCTGTTTTAAAATTTCCAAGCAATTTTTGGTTTTATTATGCTACACTAAATAACACGATTGTCTTTCTCCAGGTGGGTGTCGAGTGGATTTTCAAAACCCTGCCAGTAATGTTTTCTACCTAGGCAATTTTTGTAAGTTGCATAGTAAAGCACTCAGTAAATACTTCATTCATGGAAATAAATTTTAATGCATATTTGAATTTTATGAAAATATCTGTATTTATAAAATAAGTTTTTGTGCATGTGATATTAATTTGACGCTTATTCTTTCTCGTAGGATGATGCAAAATGTACCTTGCTGAGGGCACTTATTATAGGGTGAGTTGAATGCATATTTTAATGTTGGTATACACCCTGGTTTTTGTTTAGCACTTGTTGTCAAGGTACACATGTGCATGTTATCATTTTTTGTGAAGTTAATATGTAGGGGCAACAATTGCAGATTGTTCTCCAGTCATGTTATTTATACTATTCATTGATGGACCACAGAAGCAAGGAATGGTATGCCAGGAAGAGAGAAATTTCTTTCTTTTTCAGAGAGCTTCTTTCTTCGTTTCTTACAGACCAGAAGGGACACCTTATTCTGGTGGTTGCTTCCAGTTCGACATATTTTTTCCACCACAATATCCCACATCGCCACCACTAGTGCACTTCTGCACCACAGGCCTGGGCCAGGTCCGCTTCAATCCCAACCTCTACTCTTGTGGCAGGGTGTGCCTGTCTCTCTTAGATACATGGAAGGGCTTGCAAGGGGAGCACTGGCACGAGACTTCTACGCTATTACAGGTTCAGTTTTTAAATAATGAGCTATCATTTGAGACAAACTTAACCTTCAGTGTATTGTTTTAAAATGGTTTGTACAGCATTTAAGATTGATGTATTTTATATGCTCTGTACGGATCATTTTTGTAATATTACACTCTGCTGCCATCACAGGCCAACAGTTACCTACTGAGGACTGACTGACTGAATGTCTTTGATTGAATGAGGACTGAGATGCCTCTTGTATAATTTAGAAACCAAGATCCGTGAAGTCAGAACACCAATTTTATGTCATTAATTTACAGTTATGAGTCTTATCAGGCAATGTAGTTACGTTCTACATGAAGTGAATCCAGTTTGTGCATGATAAATTGAAGGAGTTTTTTTTTAGTAATGTCTGGCAGTTATAATTAAACTTAAGGGGCAAAATTAAACACAATTCACTGTGGCTTACAGCTGTATCACGTGTCGTGGTTAAAATGATGTTGACCTTACAGAAAGGGTTAATAATGCTCAGTTTGATGAGCATTTGAATTACAATATTGATGAGTTATCAAAGTGTAACATATGTACATAATGTTAAATTTCTTTCTCATCCACCTCCTCAACAAGAATTCGGTGCCTTGAAGAACAAAAGTTTAATTGCTTTTTCCTTCTAATGCAGTATCTTTATCCCATCTGGGAACATAAGTATGTATAATTTCAAGAATTATGTCTACATTTTTCTTTACGTTAATTGGTTTTTTAATGTCATAAACTGTGACTGTGGTTTGATTTGTGGTTACTTTTTCATATCCTAATCTGTCTCATGAATTGCTTTCAGTATAGATTAAAGAAAACGTGAAGTTTTCATCTGTCTTAAATTCCTTTTCATGTTTCTTAACATAAACATTTTCTGTTGTGAATTACAATGACTCATGTGCATAAGACAGCTCTGTGTTAGGAGTGTCATTTATGGTAACCAGGTTCTCACTTCTGTTAATAAGCACTGAGATTCTCCTGTATCATTCACTTCTTAGCATGGGAATCTCAACAGGGTGGTCTTCCTGATGTTTAAAACGGCTTACTATACAGGTCCTGGTTTCAATACAAAGCTTGATCCTGGTCCCAGAACCTTACTTCAACGAACCAGGCTTCGAGGCTATGCTGGGAACCGAAAAAGGGAAACGCTACAGCAAATCCTACAACGAGGATATTCTGCTCCATACGATAGTCCATGCCATGGTTGCCCAACTGAAGAGGCCAAGTCCTGGGTTCGAGGACGTTATACGCGCACATTTTCGGATCAAGAAAAAATTTATATTAAAGGTATGAGGTTATAGTACTGCATGCAATCAGGGCCCGGATTTTGATGACCTGAAAATATTTAAAAAATGACCGGAAAACTCCAGAAAAATGACCTAAAGGAGGAAGAGAAAGAACACTTCGCTTTCATAGTATTCAAATTTCAGAAAACATATGAAGAAAAATTCCCTAAAATGGCCAGAAATTACAAGAAATACCCTTAAAAGTCCAAAAATTTACCAAAAAAAATACCTATAAAATTTACATTTCTGTAGCCAGCAGCTCATATCCGAGATTTATATATTTAAGAGCATCGCATAGGAGACAAGGGAAAAAAGATGACATGTCATCAAAATCTGGGCCCTGCCTATAATACAGCGTGTTCAGGAAGTTACCTAGCCCACAGAATAAACTAATGTTATGAACACTGTTGAAAGTGGTAGCCATTATGTTTCTCACATTAAGGTAGACAATGAATCATGCACCTGTACATCATCTACTGCATGATGAATTTTTGATCTGTATTTTTTCCAGTGTATGAGGGTGATTTGAATACACGATGTGTTTTTATGCCCCAGTGAAAGACCTTGGTGGACCAAGGTCTGAACTTCTTGGTGGTCTTGAGCCTTTTGATATTGTCTCTGAAGAACTGATGACCATCACTTAATAATTTCTGTGTCAGTTTCTTCCATGGTTTCCATCTACTTTTTGAAACATTTTATTCCAGTGACTGGTCAAAAACAAGTGTCAAAGAGTTGGAATTAATTCATAGATTATGATATGATTGAGTAGTGATTCATCATGTTGTACAGTACACCTGATGAAACATAAATAAGAACAGGGAAGAAATGATTGACAGTTTTTTAAATGAAATAACTGATGAACGAAAAGATGTGCCTTATTAAAAGTTATATAAATACATTCGTAATTCAGTTTTTATTGACCCCAGTTGTCAGCATCTGAAAATAAATTTCCTGGCCAGTTAGTTGCATCATTGTGACCTACATGTATGGTTTCAGCAAGATGGGTCCACTGCTCACACTGCACAAATAAACATGATGGTTCTGCATTGAATGTTTCCACAGTAATTCATTTCTTGCCACAGAGAAATTAACTGGACTCATCACTCACCTGAATTTTCAGCAGCAGATTTTATCATATGGGGCTGCCTAAGGACAAGGTATATGAAACAAGGCCTGCTAGTATCCCTGACTTAAAAAAACAGTGTATTGGGGAGTATATTGAAGCCATCCCTAATGTCCTTCTGCTGTGTGTAATGACCGCTCTGCCAACTCGAAAGCAAGAGTGCACAGATGACAGTGACAGCCTTTCTGTTCATTAGTTATTTCATACAGGGTACATTCTGCGAAGTGGGCAACATGTTTTAACAGAAGTATCATCTTCAGGCTCTGACATTTTCGGTATTGTGTTTACACTTGTGCATTGAATATTTGAGGGCCTGAAAATTACATCAGTCATTGAAATATGTCACCTAGGTTGTTGAATATGTGTACTGCAAATGTATTTGTGTGTTTTAAAAGTTAAAGATATTTAAAGTCATGTCACATGTCTGAAGAAAAAGGAAGGTCATGCAACTGATACTATATTACATTTCTTATCCATTTGTATTTATTTATTTATATTTTTGTTGCTGGTAGAATCATTTCTTTTAATTTGCTTCTCAGTGTTGAATATCTGACTTTACATTTTCACATTTTGTTTTTACATGTATTAAACTGAATGAGCATTACCATGTTACTGTCATACATGTCACCTGATGAGACAATAGACCATACTTGATTTTCAGACTGTTGGACAAAGTCCATCAGCAGTTATGTAAAGGTTTATTTAATAAATGTGTATTAGTGCTTGTGTAATTATTTTGTATATGTTTTACAGGAAATTAAGTGCCACATGAAGACTCATAATGATGTAAAGTCCCTGCAGAGAGCATATGAATCACTGCATTATGAACTTAACAAATTAACTTCTGTGTCAAGTAAAAAGACAGGATCAAATGTAAAAGAGGACACTAAAATTGTAAAGAATCCTGTGTGACCTAAAGATATAGGAGCAAAGACCTAGTTGAGACTGTGATATCTCCTGACTGAAAGGATTCAGATGCTCAAAACACTTTCCAACTAGAGGTAGGACGATCCTTAAAAGTGCCATCAAAAATTAATTCGTCAAATATGTAGAACCCTTCTGGTACAGAATCTAACTTAATTTTGTCCACTTTTCATGTGTATTTTAGGTGTCGAAACAGATGTCATTTTGGAAGTGGTCTAATTTTCTGTAGCATTTGGAACGACACTTGAAATTTCTGTTGAATGATGCCAGTGATATATGAAGACTGAAATGTTCAATTGAATTATTTTTAAAATATTTGCTGAATTTAATCGTCCAATCTCTAGTTTCAGTATGAGTATGTAGATTGTAAGAAGTTGTGCAGATGTGGAATGAACAGTATGAAGGTAGGGATGTGAAATGTAACCAGTCCAGTGCACTTGTTCATTGTAATTAATGTTACCTTATTTAACTTAGACCCTGTATTTGCTGGATTATAAAATATATTTTCAAATATATAAGTGTTACATAAAATATTTAACTGTTATATAGCTTTGAAGCAGATTGTGAAATTGCAAACTTAAGACACAGTGATATCTGTACTTAAATTATTTTAGACAATCCTATCAGTTAGTCAACCCAAATACTAGTTAAAACATTATAAATCGTCCATTAACAACAAAAAAACATGTTTACAAATAATATATTCTCTTGTGGAAAATACAGCAGTGAGTCTATGTAAACAATGTACTTATGCAATTGTTTCCTCATCTGCAAGTCAGTGATTCCCATCATTACTGTGAATCATCTTCATTGTCCACTTGAAGCACAAGTTTGATCTTTAACTTTTGTAGAACAAAGTTTTCCCATAGTCATGATGTAAAGTTATAAAGATGACAGCAGAAATTAGAAAAAGTAATGTATGAAGGACATTCATATTGCACTCTTCACATATTTCCATTGAATGTAATTTAATGTTTTAATTCTCATTATTCAATGTCTGATTAATTTTTTTCTGATTTTTGGCTGCTGTTATATGGGACTGGATGGTAGTGATTTACAGTTTATTTTAACCCTTTTTAGTGTCAAGGTCATTGGATGCTCAAAAACATACAAATGCCAACACTGATTTGGTCAGCGCTCCATGTTCACCATGTTTGTCATTTTGGATTGCCACATGCAGTTGCTTGTCATTAGCCCTTTCACTGCTAGTATGTTAAGTAACTCTCAGTACCCTCTGTGCTGAATTATTTTTGAATAAATCTTTTATAAATAATTTAAGTGCAAAGCATGAAAATTTGTGATAAAATGTAACTAATCTTACCTCAGACAGGGAACAGGCAGCAGAAGTTGCAAAAATGTTAAATTATTCAGTATTTTTCACAGGGGAAAAGTCCATTTGAATCAGCGTTGTCCAAAATGGTCAAAAAAGTACATAATTCACTATCCTAGTCTTATCACTATGTCACATGTTGACCAAAGTCCACAAATTTATTTAAAACCATTATAGAAAGCACCACACACTATACAAAGCCATTTTTACTAGCCCTGTGAAATACCTGTGTGACATGACCATGGAGCGCATGCCTTGCTGTGCAGATGCAACCCTTTACATTTCCTAAGCTAGAGAGCAGAAGAATACAGCCATTGAAATGAATGATGCTTCATTATGTTCCCAATAGATGACTCTATGCACCCACCAAGTTTGAATGAGAATGGTGCAAAGAAACCTAAGATTTGAAACTAAAGTCGCAATACGGGTTTTGTCAATCACAGCAAGAACGTCATGTTTTTCAGAGATTGACATGTGTTGACCGCATCAGTGTAAGGGTTAATAGAAAAATTCTCTCAGCAGTGGCAGGAAATGTAAATGCTTCATATCTGAAAATACACAGCAATCACACTAACTTGCAGATTTAACAAAAAAAAATATTTTTGCATGTGAGAGATGTTGGAAAGTGGCATTAAAAAGGTCCGTCCTACAAAATAATTTAATAGATAACTTACCTTACATAGTTGGCAGTGCTCTTGTAATTATAGCGCCAGAAACCAAGGCATCCATGGAACTTAGTACTTTTACTCTCATGATTAGATAGCTTCTCTGTTATGCTTATGTAAATGCAGGTTCTTTGCATGGAGGTTAAGCTCAAAAGATTATATATAAGTTGACACAAAACAGAGATAAGATGCATAACTGATATTTTAGTAGCTATGAATGTATTAAATTTGCCTGAAATGGAGTACAGGTAATAGTTATTCTTTTTGTATAAAATTTATCTTTAAATCATAACCCTTCTCTAGGGGACCAAGTGTATTCTGTCATTGTCATTTGAAATGTTAAATGCTGTGAATGATTATTTCTTAGATTTTGTGCAATCTGTGTCATGTTCATGTGAACATTTAATTAAAATGTGATAATCATTCCTGCTGACCACCTCTGTGGTCTAGTGGTCAGAGTTCCTGGCTATACAGATCCAGAGGTCCCAGCTTAGATTCCCGGTGCTACCAAATTTTCTGAGTAGTGGGTCTGGAAAGGGGTCCACTTAGCCTCGTGAGGATAGTTGAAGAGTAATTTCAAGGAAACAGCAGCTCCAGTTTAGAAAACTGAGATTAACAGCCGTGGAGATCCATTGCACTGACCACGTGACACCCTCTATCTGCAAAAGTTGGCACTAACTTTGCCGACAAGTGGTGATTGCTCAGTCAGTATAGTTCGCTTGCTGACTACAGGCCATGGAGTTTTTTGTTTGTAATCATTCCTGTTCATGATACTGTATTTCTAGTTTCTCTTATATTTCCAGGAACTTCTAGAATCATTTATTACAGCAAGACATGGTTTTAGAAGTTCTGCATTTCAGCCTTAAAGTGGGAATCACTGAATGATTAATATATTTCTTAACAAGACATTTGCAGAATGTCTGTGAGGTATGTCTACTTTCATTGTTTCCATTTATTGATTATCCACTAAAATTTCATTCCAGCTGCACTTTTGGCATTACCTCCCCACCTGTAGGGCTTCTGAATGGCTTTATCATATTACATTATAATGGCTGTATGAATATACACAAGAAGCCATTTATGTCTATAAAATAAGCTTTTAAGCTGCTTGAGTGTTTTATTCTCAACTATGGCTGTGTATGAAAAATAAAAAATATATATATTATTGTGAATACAGATATAATTTACCAATCTTCCATTGTGATTCCAATTACAAGAATATTCATAGTATTAAAAATGAACTTCATGGAGCTGAGCTGCCAGTTGAGCAGCTACTCAAGAACTTCCCAGCATTTAATAGAACCCAGAGATTCATTACCATGTCCACAAGATCCCCTCCACTGGTCTCTATCCTGATCAATCCAGTTAATATCACCCCATCCTGTCACTCTAAGATACATTTTAATCACCTACATGGTCTGCATAATGGTCATTTTTCCTTCTGGCTTTCCCACCAAATATCCTATATGCTACAAGGCCTACCCATCGCATCCAATTATACTTGGTGAAGAGTTAAAGTTATGAAGCTCCTCGTGCAGTTTTCTCCAACCTTTTGTCACACCATCCCTCTTTAGAAATATTCTCAGTAGCATTTTCAAACACCCTCAGTATATGTACCTCCTTTAATGTAAGATAACAAGTTTCACAAACATACAGAACCACAGGCAGAGCTACAGTTCTGTATATTCTAATGTTTATGTAACCCCTCTAATTTGTTCCTGAATATAGGTCTCTACATGTTCTTGTTCTTACTGTTCATTCTCATAAATTTTGTCTTTCAGGTACTCCATTCTTATTCCTGAAATGCCTGCTGGCTTCATGTCTTATATTGTTCAGATTATCCCCCATTTATTTTACTTGGATCCTGTAACCATTCCAATTTGGCTTGTTTTCTTTGATGTAATAATTCTGAGTATCCTTCATCGAGCCATGGCTTATGCTTCTTCAGTTCATAATAACCTAGACTCTCTTTGGCTGAAATTTTAATAATCTCTGTGATAGTTTCCCCAGCTCTATCAATATCCACCTGAGTGTCTTAGGTTTTCTAAAGCTCTGAACCTTTTGAGAATTCAACTTGATACTGTTCTTTACCCTCTACCTCATTTAATTTCTTGAGAATGAACCTCTCTATATGACATCTATATGTTGTTTGTTTACTCACTGCCAGTCTCTCCCTAACTTTGACCACTACCAGATAGTGGTCAGTATCACAACCTGCTGCCCTGAGCAATCAAATATCAAGTATACTTGAATGCCATCTCATATCTATCAAAATGTGGTCAATTTTATTGCAAGTCTTTCCATCAGGAGTTGTCCAGGTAAATTTATGATTGTTACAATGCGGGAACATGGTAATTCTTTTTTTGATATGGCAGAATTTACCACTGTAACAACATTATCATTAATTTTGTGCAAAGTGTCATTCCCAACTGTTGGTTTGAAAATGTCTTCCATACCTACTTTTGCATTGAAATTTCCTAACTGAATTTACATAAGGTATTTAGGGACTTTATCAAATACACATTCTAGTTCCTCACAGAAGCTGTCTTTCACATCATGTTTTATCCTCTGTTGGGGCATGGACATTCAAAACAGTATCACAGCAGTGACCTCGTAGTATTATGTATGACGTCCTATCACTAACAAACTCTACCCTCTTAACTGCTAATATGATTCTCTTATGTACAAAAAACTTGTACATAATTCATGATTCTCATTCCCCTCCTGTACCCTGAAGATGGAGGCAGTGTTTCTTAGAAACATCTACTGTGATGTGTCAGACTACATGGTGTGATATCTCAAAGACAGTATTCTTCAAATACAGAAAGTATGGTGAACTGGCTAACTTTGTATGATTCATTCATTCATTTTTATTTGTTCACAAGATCTACATTTGGTGATATTGCCTCAGATATAGAACACATCCACAGTTTAAATGTCCATAAGGATAGTGTCATAACAGAATATAGAAAGTACAAATTCTAAGTTTAAAAACATCCAGAGACCCACGTTATAACAGAAAACCTCATATACATAATAACAATTCACCATCATAACAGTAATTATAAACACGCAAAACACATGATAATGCCACCTGTTTAACTTAAATTTCATCAATACAATTTAAGGTATCTAAAATATCTTTGAGGACAAGGTCCCATAATATACAAACAACTTATAGTACTAATAGATACAAAATAAAACATTTATTTTATTCACAATTCATTAAAATTGGTTCCAGATTCAGTCATATTGCAATTACGATTTAAATCTTGTATCTTAAAAATATAATATTACATTTAATCCTTATAGTTGTATTCGTCCATGGTATAAAATGAGTAAAGAAATAAAAATAATTCTAATCCCATTTTAAATTGTTCAGCATTTTGAGATATCTCCTTTTACTGTGGCTGGCAAGCCATTAAACATTCCCGCATAATAGGCCCCCTTCTGAAAAACTCAGTTGAGATAGTGGTTGATGTAAATCATATTTTGTCCTAGTATTAACAATGTGAATGGCAGAGTTTGTTTCAAAATAATGTCTATTGATCACAAATAAAGAGTCAACAAATATATTGTGATTTTAATGTTAATATTTTTAGTTCTCTAAAATATTTCCTACATGACTCTCTACTTCTAATTCCATGTGCAGATTGCTGATTCTGCTGTATTTGAAATGTTTACTATTTCAAACTGTAGCAAATACACCATACATGAGACATTATTGTCAAGTTCTTAAAGCAGAATGAAAATATCATTAAAATCATTACTCATAGTTGGGTATAATGCTGTGGGCACTTCTCAATGCTCTGACTTTGACTAGTAAAGACATGTCTGGTGTAAAACCAGACTTGCCTAACATTTGCTCTGTCAGTGCTGTTACATGCCTTCTTAGGGAAACTTATTTGCTAAGAGAGGCTGCTTTCGCTAAATATGGCCTGATTATTAGGCTTCACTTCTCTCTTCATACTAGCCATCAGCATTGGTTCCTCAGCATAGGGTCTAAATCACTGGGGTTACTGGAACATCTCACCACGATTGATTGATTGACTGATTTATTTCGTCACTGTAGATCATTGTACATGATATATGACAAGTGAAGTTAATTCTGAATATTAACAATTTGATATATAAGTAGATTAAAATTACAATAGTTACAATTTTTTACTGCTAATTACAATTTAGAATTAGTTAGATATTCTTATTTATGGAGAATTTGATGGAATGAACATGATGTTAACCCTTTGATGTTAGTTGGGCGTATTGTGGTCCGCAGCAGCTCACAAGTAACTTTAAGACTACCAGATTTTAAAATAATAGCTCACTGCAAGTAACTATTTAAAACAACAGAATTCATTGGATGCTAGTAGTCACACAGTTAATAACTGAATTCCTTGCATGTACAGGACCCAAAGATTTGTTACTATGTTTGCATGAATCCATCACTGCACTTGCTCCTGAGCTAGATGATACCCAGTTCACAGCTTTTGGTAGTCCATTTCCTAAAATTCAAATTAGGAAAACTACGAGTTTTGAAATAGAATAATAGTCTCTCATAAAATAAGCCATACTCCTGGATATGATGACATTTCTAATAATATATTAAAAGCTTGTAAAACTTTCATTAGTGCTCCATTAAGTTATCTATGTAACAGAGTTTTGTTTGAAGGTATATTTCCAGACAGGCTAAAATATGCCACGATTGTACTAGTGTACAAAAGAGGTGAGAGGAATATTATTTCTAATTACAGACCTATTTCTATTTTGACCTCTTTTAATAAAATATTTGAGAAAGTAATGTATAGTAGATTGATAAAGCATCTTAATAAGAATAACATCTTAATTAACCACCAGTTTGGATTTAGAGTGAATCTAGGGACTGATAATGCTGTTTTTAGATCAATCTCTGGAATACTGAATTCACTAAATCAAAAAACATTAGTGTGACTTGTGACTTGGAAAAAAGCATTCAATTGTGTTAGTCATGTAGTATTATTGGATGAATTAAAGTATTATGGAATAAATGATAAACAATATAATCTTTATAAGTCTTATTTACAAGGTAACATCAATTTTAAATGGACTAGACAATAAAAAAGTACTCTCTGAATGGGTTAAAGTAAGAAACGGGGTTCCACAAGGTTCAGTGCTGGGACCACTGTTGTTTATGATATGTATAAATGACTTACCTAAGATTTTGGAGTCAAATAGTGTCCCTATTTTATTTGCTGACGATGCTAGTGTCTTGATTTCACATGCTAATCCTCTACAGTTTAAAAATACACTAAATGAAGGTTATGGGATTCTTGATGACTGGTTTAAAAAGAACTTACTGTCATTAAATACAGTGAAAACACATTGCATCAATTTCACTGCAAAAAACAATATGTTGGTTGAGAGGGATAGGAAATGTAGGTACATGCATTATGAGCTCTTAAAACACTAAATTTCTTGGCTTGACTACTGAGAGCTCCTTGACTTGGGAAAGACATACTGAAGAGGTTATAAATAAAATAAGTTCAGCCTGCTACATGATAAGGTTCATAAAACCAATTATGTCTATAAATACCTTGAAAATTATTTATTAATCTTACTTCCATTCAGTCATGACTTATGGCTTGATTCACTGGGGAAACTCATCACATGCTGACATGGTTTTTAAGATGCAGAAAAGAGTTACACAATTGATGATGGACTGTGGTTACAGGGAATCTCATGTAGAGCTCTCTTCAAGGAAATTAATATTCTGCCTTTAAAATCACAGTATATATATATTCATTAATGATGTCTGTAATAAAAGCAGATAAATTTGTTACAAATAAGGATTATTATGAAGTTAAAACCAGACAAAATATTAATTTACATATACACCAGGTTAACTTGGCCATATATGCTAAAGGCTTATATATGTCACGTGGCAGTAAAGGTTTTTAATGGACTTCCTTATAACCTCAAAGAGATCTCTAATAATCCAAAAAAGTTTGAAGTTAATCTAAAGGACTTTCTGTTTTCAAATTCTTTCTATACATTTGAGGAATTCTTTAAAAGGTGATTGTATTATAACTTCAAAAATTGAGTATTATTGATTATACTGGGATGATTTTATGCATATGTACATATCTATATTTGATGGGATGTATTTGTAGTTATTGCTTTGCTGCTTTTTAATAGGTTTTTATTAATAAAGTACTATTATGTTCATATTACAATGACTTAAGAATTGTTTCAGTTATATTGGGTGCTGTGCATGCTTAGGCTTACTTTGTTGGTACTTAATGATGTGTATGACTATATTGTTGGTAATACTAATATACGCATGTTGTTTCTGTTGTATATGTTGGTAATACTTATATACGCATGTCGTACAATCTGACCACATGGCTGTCCCAGTATGGTTCCAGACAGTGTGGTGGTAAGTTGGTTTTTCATATGCGCACGTGCACGCTAGTGCGTATACCAGATGATATTACTGGATGTAAAAGTGGAAGTGTGTGGATCAAGAAATAAAAACTACAGAAAATAAACGAAAGGTTTTACAACATATATATACGTTGTACTGCTTTGTTTGTGACTATTTCCACATCCTATGAAATTGTTTTCTGTATGGATTTATGGAAAATGAATGAATGAATGAATGAATGAACAGCCTCACATCCTAATGTAGGCTAGGTCTTTCATGTGATCATATGTGTCACTTCAGATTATCCAAATAAAATTTTGTATGCATTTTTCCTATCCCTATGCATGCCACATTTCCCAAGCATCTCATTCTTGATTTAGTTAAGAATAGATATAGATAGAATAGAATAGATATATAGGCTAAGAACCGTCAAAATACCCAACCTCTTAAAACCTTCTGTACACGAATTTCCAGGACTCAATCTCAGCATAAACCTAATCGCCCTTTTTTGGGCAACAAATAAACTTTTCATAACTGGAGAAGAACCCCAGAATATAATACTATATTCAAGCTGAGACTGATAATAAGAAAAATAGATCATTCGAAGAGCTTGTTCACTCTTAACTATTGTAATCTACTGTAATCTATTGTAAACAATTGTTAAGTATTGTAACTTTACTCTCTTATTGTAATCAGACAATGTACAGTAACTGACTTGTCCTGTATCATGCAATAATGATCCACAGAGACGAAATAAATAAATATACAATGAGAACCGGGGGTAAAGCAGCGAGGTTGGGAAGCTGACGAAGTTGAAGAATGGTACTATACCTATACTCCTCATATCTTCATGGCGTTGTGCTTAATTAAATACGCACAGAGACAGTTCTTAATCAGCTAATTGATCAAAGTAAATGACGATTCTTAACACCGAATTCCGCATCCAGTCGGTCACTCGCAGTGCTTGCAGTCACTCGTGTGGTCATAATTCCGGTAAATGATCCGTGGTTACGTCTGTATGTCAGGACTCGATGCTACCACAACCACATGGTTTATACCGTGGAGATCGGTTGGGATCGTTGGGATGGTTAGGTTAGGTTAGTATTCAGTGGTATACAGTAGTTGGTAATTGTGTTTGTTGTTGGTTAATGAAAGCGGAAAATGTTGCTTGGAGATGATTCAGATTCTGAGGTTAAACTCGAAATTAATAAGAATTATGCAGGCCGCTATAATTCATGGAGGCATAAAGAAGAATTGCAAAAGTGTAAGTGTAATCAGCTTAATCTTATGTACTTAGATTTGTTTGGTTACTAGCAAAATTTTTTTCACTCGAAATATTTCAACTTCCAAGAATACACAAGAGGTAAGGTATTCTACCGGATTTAACGTGAAGTTTAAGTACGTTTTAAATTTGTGTGCGTCATAGCAATTATATTTCGTTAGTGTCTATATATAAAACCAAGTGATTCAACACGTCGATATTGGAGTACATGTAAATCCCAGAAGACTGCTTTCTTCATTGGAGTACATGTTTCCCCAGGCAATTCTGATTCCACCAGTTGCTCCATATTCATTAATCATAATTAATCATAAAAGAGAAATCTACAATGAATTAAGAAACAATAAGGATCCTANCCATTTATCAACTACATATATATAGTCACGATACTGATAGTGCTGTTAAGTAACAAACGAAAATATTTGACCCATATGCAGCAAAGACGACGGGGGCTCATGTTGAGATAGGAAGGAAGAGAGTTTTGGGTTGGTATCAGATTTCAGACAGGAGGAATAGAAATAGCAATGCAGAAATAGATATTAGGCGGACAGTAGGGTGCAAGACTAAAGAGCGATGGCAGGAAATAAGTTGGATTAAGTATAAACAGAAGTGGGAAAGAATGTTGAAAAAGAATGAAAGTCCAGTAGGAATAAATGTACACTGTATATGAGTAGTTACCAGTAAAGGTAGCAGTATAGGGCATGCATAATTAGTATATAAATGTATAATAGATGAATTGTACTATAGCTAGCCCAGAATTTTCCATCTTTTGTGGGACCCAAAAGATCAATACTGTTAATAGAAAGTCCGTCCAGTGTAACAACTTGTAGGTCACTTCTTTATCACTTCTGCCTTACATGTTTCGGTTTAATATAACCATCATCAGAGGCACATAGTACAATCATGAAAACACTGTCGTTGTTAAAATGTACGCAGTTATGTTTGCTGCGTTGACGCTGCTACAGTATATCGACGTGTAAAAACACAACACTTGCTAGGATTGTTGAATGCACTAACAATTCTCACATCCCATCCGAAACTTCCCTCAAGTTAAAAATGTCAATGTTAAAATATTCAAAAATTTAAATTTTTTTTAAAAATTTAAAACATTTCATATAAACACAACACACAGCACAGTGGAAACATCTAACCACAAGCCATACAACATCAAGCTGACATCTCCCATCTTCGGGATGAATCAACAAGAAGGAGCCTAACATTTTATATGAAATGTTTTAAATTTTTAAAAATTAAAAAAAAAAAAATTTAAATTTTTGAATATTTTAACATTGACATTTTTAACTTGAGGGAAGTTTCGGATGGGATGTGAGAATTGTTAGTGCATTCAACAATCCTAGCAAGTGTTGTGTTTTTACACGTCGATATACTGTAGCAGCGTCAACGCAGCAAACATAACTGTGTACATTTTAACAACGACAGTGTTTTCATGATTGTACTATGTGCCTCTGATGATGGTTATATTAAACCGAAACATGTAAGGCAGAAGTGATAAAGAAGTGACCTACAAGTTGTTACACTGGACGGACTTTCTATTAACTTTGTGATTGATAGTGTAACGGACCAAAAATGAAACAATTCAAAATAGATCAATACTGTGTTCAGAAGAGCCCACTTTTAGGCCCTGTTCTGAAGTCACTGAGTCTATTCCAAACCCACATGCTCTTTTTCTTTCACATTCATATAACCATTCTATCTATGCCCAGAGCTTTGAAGTGGTCCCTTCCCTTCAGTAATTTCAACTTATATTTTTTTTTCGCATTTCTCATTTCTCCCGTTGTGTTACATTTCCTGCCCCTTTCACTCATCTGATTTCAACACCCTGATAATATTTGATGAAGTGTCCAAGTTATGAGGTGCCTTATTGTGCAGTTTTCTTGAGCCTCCTATTGCTCTACTCTTAGGTCAATATGTTATTCTCAGCATTTTGTTTCCAAACACTCTCAAACTATGCTGGGCTTGAGGTTCTCATGGTGGTGACTAAAGAGTACAGTTTTCTTGGATGTAATGCCATATAGTCCGATTGAAATTAACTGACTTTTCGGAGGACCATATTACCCCCATCTTCAGGGTTTAAGAGTAAACCAAGCAAGTAATCAGTGAAAACTTGCTTTTTACTAGTGTAGTGTTTAATAGTGTATATGCTTAGCCATAAGAAAATCCAAGTGTAAGGGATCATCAGAGGATCAGGTGTTTTGAGTTTGTGGTGGACAGTCTGTGACCCTTCAGAATTCTCACTGGGAACTATTAAAATGTGGAAAAGTGTAGGTGTGCTCCAGTTTGGAGCACACATTTTTTTTAAGAATGGGCAATGTGTATTGCATTCTGTATTTATATTCACATTCTGTATTACAGACAATTCAGTTTTTTTGTCAGCATCAGTATCCAGGTACAGCTGAACACATAGATATAAATTATTTTTACGTCGAATGTACATCATATTGAGAATGTAAGTTATAGAACTTAATGAGGTCTCTTTTATGGTGTGTTAATTTTTTTTTTAATAAAAATTTATTTGAGCTATGTTGAACTGATACAAATTAAAAATAAATTTGGATTACAACCTATAGTACAGAGTCCCAGCTCCAAATATCATAAGAATCTGAGTACTGCAGAAAGGACATTCAGGCAGATGAAAAAGCAGATCAATGTTCCCTCTTTTCATGCATTTCATACAAATAATAAGTACATAGGAATCTTTGTGTCTTATTGCATATAAGCTATATACATATTTCATTTGAGTATTCCGTGAAGGAAAAAACTGATATTTCGTATGTGACAGTATGGAAAGTGAATCATATGGTAGGCAGTTTGCCTGGAAAACAAAATTAATAAGCTCTGAACTAAACCATGGACCAAGTCCTTGAGTAACTAATAATTGCTCAGTTAAAGAAAAGGTTAAGTTGTACTGTCTTATTTTAAATGTCATTGATGGTCTGTTTTCAGTGAAAGATCGATATGGAGAAGAGTTAGCGAAGGATGCATATAAGTCCAATGATGATTCCAGTTCATCTGAAGAAGATGAATATGCAGAACATCTTACACAGCAATTAGAAAAAGATTTCTTTAAAACTTTATCTTGTTTGAAGAAAAGAGATCCTTCTATATATGATGAGAAAGTTTCTTTCTTTGCTGATAATAATTTGACAAAATCACGAGGAAGAAATGTTGATGCAAAGAAAAGTGACAAGAGACCCCTGTTCCTGAGAGACTATGAAAGGAAGCTTATAGTAGAGCGAGAAGGCCAGCTTAGTGAAGGTATGTATGTTGCCGTTATAGAGAGGTCCATAGGATAATTGAAGTAAAGTACTATGTTGAAAATATCTAAGGAACAAACATTTTCAGGAGGACCGGTGATAGAATAAAATGTAGAGTTTAAAGATTAATCTTATATTATCAAATTTACATGAACTTGCCATATAAAGTGAGTTTTTTTTTATTATAGCTTGTAAGGTTCTTCAGATTTAGTTTATTTTCCAAAGTTTATGTACATTATTCGGACAAATGACCATGTTGGCTTTTTGTTTTGTTTGCAAAGATGATGTGTTGAGAGAAGTCTCTCAAGTATGTGACAATAGTAGATTATGTTCACCAGAATGTGCAGATGCACTATCAGTGGGGTGGTAATAGAAAGTTCTATTTTGCTTACATGGTTTATGCTACAGGTTTAACCAGGTTTTCTCAAAATCCTGATTTTGTGTAAATGTATATGACATTATTTATGGATACCTATAGCCTTTAATGGAGACATATCTTTCCAAAGTTGTTACTTTCTTGAGATATTTAAAAATCTATTTGGACCTTTAAGTAAAGGTGGCCACTTAAATGTATTAAAATAAATGAAACTTATAATTGGTAACATTGATATAAATGCATATGACAGAGTTTTATTAAAATCTTTGAAGAGTTTAAATGATGTACAGTGTTCATTTAGGTCTTAAGTAAAGTAGTCCTTAAAATGAATCAGATTAAACAGAAATCAGAATAATTTGCTGTACCAAAAGCAGCTATGTGGCTAGCATGCTATTTCTTGCAGATGGACAGGACTAAATTGTTGGTAAAGTGTCTGATTATTTAATTTATATTATAATTTCTGTCATGTGCATAATTTAAACCTGGGTTACTATATAAACATGAAGTAGGATTAGATGGTTCAGGCTTTTTCATGTATTCTGCATAATATCTATATATAGAATTCTGTAAAGTTATTGTAATCTGATGCAAATGGAAGAAGATGAAGAAGTGTATGACCGACCACTCATTCAAAAGATGAATAAAAAATGCTTTGTATTTATGATTGCTTGAACCACAACGTTTTCATCAAGATAGTAGCCTGTGTTTCAATGAATTATGTGTATGGTTCATGTTCATTTGAAACATTTTTAGGTGATATTATTATAATGTTATAAATGTGGTATTGAATATACAGTTGACACCCAATCTTCAACTGTGTAAATGTAATATCACAAGCATACAATTCTTTTTTCACACTGCACAATTACATGCAGTAAAGAATATCTCCCAACAGAAGGTGAAGGCAGTGAGTGCAATGCAAGCTTACGTCCACAATCACCAACAATAGCTGAAGAGCAAAATCTCATTAAGGAAAGTTTGAAGGATGCACTGAAGGATTCTGATGATGACAATGACGGGGAAATGTGGGGAGGACTTTTTCAGAAGCGACACAAGACGCAGGCAGATGTGGTATGTATGGTTCTGTATGGAGTACATGTAATATCAAATTTTCAGTTGAAATTCAGTGGGACAACCAGCATGTACTTTTGGTTAGGGTAATTATCCAAATTGAATTCTTATCTCTCAGGATTGTAATTATAGAGCCAGCGGTGGGTTGTTCCAGTCTGTATTAATGGTGGAAAGCATGTGGAGGGAGTTAAAATACTTTCATGCGTACCCTCTTCTCCCACAAGACTTACCAGACACCTCAAGTATGATCACAGATGCTCTGCATAAAAATATGATGATGATGGTGAGGGGGAGGAGGAAACGTAACAGACAGACACAGATAGATCTGTAGGAGTAGGAAAATATCTTTGTGAGTTCTACTTGGAAATCCTTGTTTGTTAGTTTTTACTTTGCTCTCATTTTACGTGTTTGCCAAGAATACAGAGACCTCTCTTGAAGAGAAACAATATAAGGAGTAAAATCCAGTTGCTCGTTTGTACTGGGAATTACTCAAGAGTCTGCTATGGCAGAAGCAGCACTCCTCACATCAACTCCAGCCATGTGTGTTTGGGCCTGTAGTGCAGTCAGCAAGGCCATAAATATAAAGGTAAAGATACAGTTGTACCTGTACTCAATTAAGCACTACTCCATGAAGACACATGGGGGTGGATGTATAGAACCACATTTTCTTGATTTTGTCACTAGTTCGAGGTGAGTTGTCAGCTTCATGCCCCCACCTCTTTACCCCAGTGAAAGACCTGCTGGTACCCAATGGATAGAAAGCTTAGTGTGCCCCAAAGCCAGTCTGGGTGATGTGGAGAAGCGAAAATTCTTGACCCTACCATGACTCAAACTCTGACCCCTCAGTTGTCCAGCCTGTAGCAAGTCACTATACTGACTGCGCTATCCTGGCTCATAGTCAGCAAGCCCATAGGCAAACGAATAGAACAAAGCCCATCCATATCATAGCAGATTCCAGTGATGCATCTTGTTATGGACATATTTCTGATACTTGCATAGAAACTTCATAGTCACACATTTGTTATTTTTCAGAACTAGACTATGATGGAAACTGGGATACAGAGATCTTAAATACCCTATGAAATTTTGTTAGGAGATTTCAGTGCCAAAGTAGGGAGGGAAGACATTATCAAACCAACAATTGGGAATGGGAGTTTGCATGAAGTTAGTAATGATAATGGAGTTAGAGTTGTAAACTGTGCCACATCAAAAAATCTTACTGTCAGAAGTACAATGTTTCCACATCACAACATCCATAAATTTACTTGGACATATCCTGATGGGAAGATACACAATCAAATAGAACATATTTTGATAGATAGGAGATGGCACTCAAGTATACTTGATGTCCGATCATTCAGGGCAGCAGATTGTGATACTGACCACTACCTGGTGGTGGCAAAGGTTAGGTAAAGACTGGCAGTGAGCAAACAAACAACACAGAGGTCATATGGAGAGGTTCAATCTCAAGAAATTAAATGAGGTAGAGGGTAAAGAGCAGTATCGTGTTGAAATCTCAAATAGGTTCATGGCTTTGGAAAACTTGGACACTGAGGTGGATGTTAATAAAGCTTGGGAAACTATTAGAGAGAATATAAAAATGTCTGCCAAAGAGAGTCTAGGTTATTATGAACCGCAGAAGCATAAACCATGGTTTGATGAAGGCTGCTCAAAATTATTAGATCAAAGAAAGCAGGCCAAATTGCAGTGGTTACAGGATGCAAGCGAGTTAAATGGGGGTAATCTGAAAAATATAAGATGTGAAACCAGTAGGCATTTCAGGAAGAAAAAGAGGGAATATCTGAAAGACAAAATTGATGAGCTTGCAGTGAACAGTAAGAACAAGAACATTAGGCACCTATATAGAGGAATAAATGACTTTAAGAGGGGTTACCAGCCTGGCAGTAACTTAGTGAAGGATGAGAATGGTGATCTGCTTGCAGATTCCCACAACATTTTGAATAGGTGGAGGAACTACTTCTCTCAGTTATTGAATGTACATAGGGTCAGTGATGTTAGGCACCTGATCCTAGCCCTTTTGAAGTTGAAAGTGTTATTGCAAAATTGAAGTGGTATAAATCGCCAGGTAGTGATCAAATTCCGGCAGAACTTATTCAAGCAGGAGGTGAAATAATACTTCCCAAGATCCACAATCTAATTACTTCTGTTTGGCATAAGGAAAAATTGCCTGATCAATAGAAGGAGTCTATTATTGTACCAGTTCACAAGAAGGGTGATAAAACTGACTAGTAATTATCGGGGGATATCACTGCTATCAACTTCATATAAAATTTTGTTCAATGTTCTTCTTTCAAGGTTAAGTCCATATATAGATGAAATTATTGGGGATCATCAATGTGGCTTTCAACGTAACAGATCAACTACAGATCACATCTTTTGCGTTCATCAAATATTGGAAAAGAAATGGGGGTACAATGAGACAGTACATCAGCTATTCATAGACTTCAAGAAAGCCTATGATTCAGTTAGGAGGGAAGTATTGTACAGTATTCTAATAGAGTTTGGAATACCCATGAAACTAGTTAGGTTGATTAAACTGTGTTTAAACGAAACATAGTAAAGCCCATGTAGGTAAACGTTTGTCTGATAAATTTCCTATCCAGAATGGTCTAAGACAAGGAGATGCTTTATTGCCACTCCTTTTCAACTTTGCCTCAGAATATGCAATTAGGAAGGTTCAGGGAAACCAGGTGGGACTGAAATTAAATGGGACACATCAGCTGTTGGTCTACGCTGATGATGTGAATCTACTGGGTGATAATGTAGATACCATAAAGAAAAACACACAAACTTTAATTGACGCAAGTAAAGAGGTTGGTCTAGAAGTAAACACAGTGAAAACTAAGTATAGGTTGCTGTCTCATCACCAAAATGCTGGGCAAAATCATAACATAAAGATATGAAACAGATGTTTTGAAAATGTGGCACAGTTCAGATATTTGGGAACAACGATAACAGATGGAAACCTGATTCAGGAGGAAATTAAGAGGCAACTGAACTCTGGTAATGGTTGCTATCATTCAGTCCAGAACCTTTTGTCTTCTCGTCTGTTGTCCAAAAACATAAAAATTAGAATATACGACACTATAATTTTACCTGTGGTTCTGTAGGGGTGTGAAACTTGGTCTCTGACATTAAGGAAGGAACATAGACTGAGGGTGTTTGGGAACAAGGTGTTGAAGAGATTATTTGGACCAAAGAGGGATGAAGTGACAGGAGGTTGGAGAAAACTGCATAATGAGGAGTTTTATAACTTGTACTCTTCTCAAAGTATAATTAGAATGATCAAGTCAAGGAGGATGAGGTGGGCAGGGCATGTAGCGTGAATGGGGGATACGAGGAATGCGTATAGGATATTGGTGGGAAAGCCAGAAGAAAAGAGACCACTGGGAAGACCAGGGCGTAAGTGGGTGGACAATATTAAAATGGATCTTACAGAGATAGGATGGGATGGTATGGATTGGATAGATTTGGCTCAGGATAGGGACCAGTGGAGGGCTCATGTGAACATGGTAATGAACATTCGGGTTCCATAAAATGCTGGGAAATTCTTGAGTAGCTGCAGAATTGGCGGCTCCTCCAGAAGGGCTCAGCTCCATGAGTAAGTAAGTAATATGACTGATTGAATGTTTAATAATCAGTACCCGGGACATGGGATTATGTTTAGCTGTTAGTTAATGCATAAGTTCATGTCATGGTAAGTGTTAAATGATATATTGGGTCAGTATTGAAGAGAAATTGTAATATGTATAGTCTGTTGGCCTTTTGACCATACCATCAGTGCAAATGCACATGAAGAATGGAGAGGATGTACTTGTGTCTCTTTTGATGAAGCGGCTAAAGAGGCTGTGGCATATTGTCAGGTAAAATTTTTGTAGAATGAGGGTTGTATCTCCTGAAGAGAGCTACAGATTTTGACCACAGTGCACTAAGGATTGAGAACTGAGCGTATTGTCTTACAACCTATGTTACAGGAAAAAGAAGAGGAAGATTACAAGGAATGGCTGAAAGGACAGAGAGAAGAACTCTCAGACAAAAAAACAGAATCAGAGCTTAAATACTTGCATGATTATTGGAATAACCCAAGCCTTAATTCTCAAGAATTGTTTCTTAAAGATTATATTCTCAACAAAAGGTAGGCTGGGATAATTTGTAGTGAAATAAGTAATGGATATACAGGAATGCAGAAATTTATCAGATGTGACATCATACTTATAGATTTTATTGAAATATGAGTGTTTGAAGTGCCCAAGAAAATATTTGTCTCTTGATCTGATATGGGTATTCATGTTGTGTGTCTGTAGCATGTGGTTCATATGGATAGAAAAAATGACAACATTTCAGGATTATAATCTTTCAGTGGATACGTGCTTAACCCGTATAGAATTATTAAATACACTTTGTGAATTACTGCTGTAGACCAGTTAATAGTTTATAATGACACTGCATCAACTGCAGAGGTTATGTAACAATGAATGAACTTTGTTAAGTGGACATTTTGTTTAAAATTCTGGAGTATACAACTTTGTGTGTTTCCAGGAGTATTGGTTTTCTACTGTAATGGGGAAAGGAAGTTTTACAGTATGAAGGCAAAATGCTAAGACATCCCAATAACTTATGTTGATTTTTATCAGGTTTCTTGAGGCCAGTGAAGATGATGACTACGTACCAACATATGATGAAATTGTCCATGACTCTGATGAAAATCTTTCTGAAGATGAGAAGACCATTGAGAAGCAAGAGGAATTTGAACACAAGTTCAATTTTCGCTTTGAAGAACCAGACAAAGAGTTTGTTAGTTCATTTTTATTAATTTCAGTATAGAATATCATTGCTTATCTGGAAAATATAATTAACGTTTCTTATTATAGGTGAAGCGATATCCTCGAACAATGGCAAATTCCCTGCGTAAATGTGATGACAGACGGAAAAAGAAACGACGTGAAGTAAAAGAAAGAAAGGAAGCTGAAGAAGCTAGAAAAAGAGAGGAGTTAAAGAGGCTGAAAGCGTTGAAAAGGAAAGAAATAATGGAAAAGATAGAAAAGTTGAAACAAATCACAGGCAATGATGAAGTTGGTTTCAAGGTAAATCTTTTCCAAACCAAATTTACTTTATAGTGGTCAAGCCCATTCATATTTGTATATACTGTGTTTCATCACATGATTCCCACATTCTTATTTTTCATTATAGAATTAAGAAGCAGAGAAAAATGTGTCATACACTCCATTTGTATGCATGAATGATAAGGCAGGTTTTGTCCCAACTTGGAGGGATACAAGCAGTCTGAAGGGAGTGAGCAGGCAGGTAGAGCTTTCATGAATGTGTAGTATTCTGTATGGTAAGAACATTCTCATTGGAGAGATGAAAGTGCAGACATCTTATTCAGAAAACTTAGAGGGAATAGAGACCTGGACAGAAATAGGATCTAATGGAACCCCCATTTAATGTACTTTGATTTAAGGTATTCCCATAAGATTCAGTTTCATTGATTCCAAGTTAACACTTTCAATGTCAAATTACTTCCACTTGAGATTATCTTTGGTTTAATGCTCAAATGGACTGTTCCCAAAATTAACCTTAAATGTAGGTTTCATTGTAATATTAAAGTGGCTCTTGGAAGAAATATGGTGCAGGGGTGTTGGCTGAATTGTGTATTGTTATTGTACATACGGAACATTGTTGTATCTGATTGCTAAGGTAGTGCTGTAATTATGTAATTGTAATGAATGTTTCCTGAGTCTTCTGTAGTTACTTAATTCACTGTAGTTATGGAATTCAGAGGCTGGTTGCTGACTGGAGTAGTGTTCTCTGTGAGAAGCTGATAGTTGTTTAGCTCATCAAGATATTATCTACCTTTTATGGACTGTGAAGCTTCATGACTGTTCACAAGATCCTGCCACTGGACTCTGTTTGAAGCCAGATGAATTGAATTCGCACCCTCACAGCTTGTTTCTTTAAGATCCAGTGTAATATTAACATCCTATCAATGTCTGGATCTCCCAAGTGGTCTCTCTCTTGAGGCTTTCCAGTTTAAATTTTGTATATAGTGTGGCATATTCGCTCGAAGCAAGAATTGTGGAGTCACAACAGCCAGCTGTTACTAGGCAACAGCCCATAAACACTGACAAAGGAATGATGTTTGCTGCACAATCTGTGCAGATGACTGTGCATGCAACAATGGAATATGTCACGCCACCACTAATCAGCAGTTGGAATGCAACAAAGGAATGGTGTTTTCTCCGTGGTCTGTGCCTAACTGTTATAAGCAGGACATGTCAGTGAGTTAGTGGCCAAGCATATTCAGAAGAGACTAATGCATCTTTTTGTCAGAGAGAATATTACATAAGGGCTATGACCTCAAGACTTAAATTGAAAAAGAATCTCTGGTTGTGAGCGTCAAGGGGCTTAGTGCCAAGATGAACTGATTGGTGGTAAACTGCCAGTCGTAAAGTAACTCTGACACCGACTCTAACTCTGAGTGAGTTAGATAACCGCTGGGGTTCAGTTGTTGTGAGCTGTTGCTGTGAGAAGCTGGTAGCTGAGGCCTGGGACAGTTCGGAAACCCAGAGGAAGGGGCACGTCCGCCATTGAACCTGCTACCAAACAATGTTTTTTTAATGCTAGTGGGATGGGACTAAGTCCCTTGTACTGCGGCCACTTCTGGCCTATTATACCAGACCCAGATGATAGGCGAGGGTGATTGTGGAGCAATTGGTGGAATGAAGATTGGCAGGGGAAATTGAAGTATTCGGAGGAAACCTGCCCCAGCGCCACTTTGTCCACCAAAAATCCCACTTGAGCAAACCTGGGCCGCCGCGGTGGGAAGCCAGCGACTAACCACTTGAGCTATGGCGTGGCCCAAGCAATGATTAGTGAATGAGATGACTTTGTGTGTCCCACAGTGATTTATGAATTGTGTAGAACAGTGAGTGCATAATCCTTGTAATTATGAGTTGTGAGGGTTCAGTAAATCTGATTACCAATCCAAACCCCATCAATAGTTACTGAAATCGTGGCAGCTTGTGTCTGAAGTGGATTCATTGGATTAAAAGGCATCAGATTGGGTGAATAATTGGGCTGAAGACATTGGATTGTTATGCCACCATACTATGGAGATGGAACAAATGATGGCATGCCTACTGGCTGAAATAAAAACCAACCAAGAAAGGATGGAAACTAAGATAGAGGTCGGTAACGAGAAGGTTGAGGTCCTTTGAGGCACTTTCATCTCCTGGATGGATATCCACCAAACCAGGACGGAGTCCACTCAAGAAAAAATTAAAGCCAAGATGGGCATGCATCAAAAGATGATGGAGTCCACAATACAGTCCATTCAGTCTGAGTTAGAGAAGACCATCAAACATCAGGTGGAAGACGTCCCACCATGTGTCAACCAAAAGTCGCAGAGCCTCTGCAAGGACCTGACCAAAAAGATTGATGAGACAGGTGGATTTATGGGCCATAATGACATCAGTCAGTACATGGACAAAGAACCTCCTTGAAACCACAACAGACACAAGGGAGCACCTTCACAAAGAGCTTGGCCTCATAATCCAGGTCTAGACACTGATGATGAGGATCCTAGTAGATACCATGCGGCAGTGACTCAGGGCCAAGATACATAGTTGAAGTAGAATCCCGGGCTGAGCTCTGGACTTACCGAAGAACAGGAACTGGCACAGGTATGGTGCAGACTCCAAAATTCGACAGATTGATGCCATGGGTTGTTCCAATGGCAATTCGAGACCATGGCGGAATGACTGGACACACAACAATTGATAAAGCTACATTTTTGATAGCCACCTTAAATGAGCCCCCCGGCACACATTCTACATAGCATCCCCACTGAAACAAAGTATGAAGAGGTTACTGTGGTACTCAAAAATCGCTACATGGACCACCATCTGGTGGAAGCATTCTGTGCTCAGCTGAGGAGAAGGGTCCAGTACACTGGGGAATCTGCAAGAATTTTCTGCCACCATCGACCACTTGGCTTACCATGCTTATGTTGACTCAACTGAACATCACATCAGAAGGAAAGCGGACCGTGCATTCACTGACAGGGTATGAGAAAGAGCCCTAAGACAGCAGCTACTTTTGGGGGCCAAGAGGACATTAAACGAGGCCCTCATCAAGCCCTCCAGCTGGAGGCAGCAAATATGGTGGTTGGGACACCCTCCTGGCTCCAGCAAGACAGTGCAGGGAAATTCTAGGCCCCCACCCACACCAAGAGACCACCAATGACCAGCATTCTGGACTTATGCAGGAATTGAGACTGAAGACCTCTGAGAGACACACGGGAACCAATGATGTCTGAATGGCGACCAAGAAACAAGGGATAGGTGGACAGAAGGAATGGCCAACCCTTGGGAAGTGAGTGGGTGCTGGTGGAAGAGGGGGGTGCCGGCATACCCATTATCGCCCCCACCATGTACTGTCATAATGGAAAGGGCTGACCCTAGCCTAGTCACACAGGGGTGGGTCGGTGGCAAACCATGCCTCTTGACCATTGACACTAGAGTGTACATGACTGCTGCCAGATGGCAGAAAAAGCAACCGAACCAATGCTCATGCTGCAGACGATATCTAGGGAAACCCTTCCCATGTTGAAAGACACTGACCCTGTGGTGTGGCCCACTGAAGTTTTGGGTATTTGTCACCAGTATAATGAGTTAATCTTGGGACTGGACATCCTGTGTGCATACAGTGCATCTGTGGACCTAGGTCACTAAATGCTGCATTTTGCAGTGAAAGAGGTATTGATATGGAGCCTCGGGGCTGGGCCCTGGCCTTCCAGCCTGGTAGTCACCAGTAATTAGGTGGTATCTGCACAGTATGAGGGAGTTGTGATGGCTGGATTGGAGAGTCCCCTCAAAATGGAAAATATCCTGGTAGAACTGAGTCCAAAGACCCACACTCCCAAGGGACTACATAGCCAGGACCCTGGTCTGAGATCTCAGGGAGGTACATGTGAGGGTCCTGAATGTTACCTGTTACAATGAGAAGCTCATGAAAGGATCCCCTGGCACAATGTGAGGCAGTCATGCTGGTGGCCCTACCCGTTGTTGAACAACCACATGTCCTGATGTTGCAGGACATGATTACAGCAGCCAGGCCAAACCTGTGTAATGCTGAATCCCATGACTTGGAAGAGATACTCACTACTCACTACTCTTTGCTAAGAAGGGTGATGACTACAGATAGATCGACAGAGTGTATCACTGTGTAGATACAGGTGAAGCCCGATCAATTCGCCAACCCCTGAGGAGGCTTCCCCTAGCAAAATAGTTGGATATGGGTGAGATACTTGAGGATATGTAACGACATGGGGTTATCGAAGAGTGAGACAGCCCCTGGTCATCCCTGTCATTCTCATCTGAAAGAATGGGGACCCATGTTTCTGTACAGACTACATGAACTAAACAATGTCACAAGGAAAGGCTGCTTCCCACTGCCCCAAACTGACAACACTCTGGACATGCTGAAAGGGGGCCAAATGGTTCTCCACTTTGGACCTGAAGAATAGTTACATCTGAACGCAAGGAGAAGACTGCATTGTTGATGGGTCAAGGGCTGTGGCAGTTGAGTCATGACCTTTGGCCTCTGCAGTGCTCTACCGATGTTCCAATGGTTCTAAGAAGCCTGCCTAAAGCCCAGTCCAGAGAAGTGTCAACTCTTTCAGAAGAAAATATGGTACCTTGGGCATATTGTGTCACCTGAGAGGATAACCACTAATCCTGAGAATCTGAGAGCCATACAGGAATGGCCAACCCCAAAGAACAAACATGACATTGGAAGCTTCCTGGGTGTCTGCATGTGTTAGAGATGGCTTATTTCTGGTTTTGCTAACATCATGAAACCACTGACCAAACTTATGTAGGAAAAATAAGCCTTCCAGTGTACTCCAGAAGTGGAGGCAACCTTCCAAACACTAAAGGAGACCCTCCATACTGCCCTTATTCTTGATTGCCCACAGTCAAGAGAGAGGTTTGTCGTTGACAGACATGAGTCATGTCAGGATTGGAGGAGTGCTGTCCCAAGTACAGGACGGTCAGGAACTAGTAATAGCCTACAACAGTAAGACGCTGAATAAGGCCAAGAGAAATTACTCCATTGCATAGTGGGAATTACTAGGCACTGTGAGGACACTGGAACATTTCAGTGGAACCCTAGAGCCAAAATGATGTTGGTACACCTTGAGTGCCTTGCTCCTTATCAGGGAACCACTTGGGATAAGCAGCCTTGAGGAGGGAGCAATGTGACATATTCACTAAAGCGAGAATGTGTAGTCACTTGTGCATGTGCTATGTGTCTTGCCCATCTCATACATACTCCTTTATTTTATGCAGTTGACAGTGTTTGATTAAATTTACAAATTATGAAGCTGATCATTGTGTAATGTTTTCAATTATTCTCTTACTTCTGTCATGTCCAGAATTTTCTTTGGAGCTTTGTTCACAAACACCCTAATTTCATTTTTCATCTATAGAGAGAGAGAGAGAGAGACCATGTTTCATGTCCATATAAAACAGGTAAAATGATACAAGAACAGTTCAGCATTGTCATTACAGAATGCTGTAATCATTTCCCTGTTGATGATTTTGGAGCAGCAATCTGGATCCTTGAGACATTGACTTCATAAGCAGTTATGGTTTTGTGCTGTCTACACATTTGTTGTGAGTAAATTTTATTAGTATTAAGTTAATAAATTATTCACATGCTCTTTCTCAACACACAGGATGAAGATTTGGAAGGAGATTTTGATCCACATGAGCATGATAAACGTATGAGGCAGATATTTAACTGTGAGTACTATAATGGAGATGAACGCGAGAAGCCTGAGTTTCCTGAATTAGATGAAGAGTTAGAAATAGGTAAGCAGATTGCAGCAATGTTGAATGAAGAACTGAATTTGAGGAGTGCTGTCTTCTGGGATATCACACTGTATTGTCCATTGAAAATAGTACTCTTCATAACTAATGCTGTGAGAACTTCAGATTGTGCTTTGAAGCAGTAGTTCAATGAATGAAGGAAAGCGCTGAATACATAGTAATTTTTCTCAATTTCCTATATTTTCATCACCAATTGTATACTTCTAGATTTTGTAGTAGAACCTTTTATAATAACTTGGATGTTACCAACTGTCATAATAATGAACTTTCACTGAGAGTGCTGTTAGCAAATGCATGAAGTACTAACAGGTAATAAAAGTGACAGGAGGAGGATCAGATCTGTTCAGCATATTTACCTGTCATGTATTTAGAAATTCATAACCTTTAAGGTTGATGGAATAACTAGAGGTGGAAAAAGTCGCTGTGACTTGATGCAGTTTCGTGTGAATATAAAATGAAGCTAAGCTAAATCCTTAAAAAAGTAAAGTAGAGAGGTGTTTGCAGAGAAGAACTTATATTTTCCAGACATATTCTTTTCTGTGTTGAATACATCAGCAGCCTTGATATTCATTTATTACAGATACATATCTAATGTTGCCAAAACTAACTGTGTTCCAGAGATCACACTGCACAGAATAGAAGTTATTTTCCCATGTTGTTCAAAGTGTTTGAAAGATATTTTATATATTTTAAAGCTTTAATGAGTAATTGTACAATAAGTTTTATTTGAGAAGAACCAACAAAATTCAATTTTAGCTCCTTGTAAAGTAGGTTTTATATTGGATTAAAGTAAATCAAACTATATTTACTTCGCAGCTTTTAATGTTAGCCCTCAGACCAAATTTTCTAAAATTCCTCCAGGGGTGAAACACGCAGACAGGCAGAAAGATATAACCTCCACCATTATACAAGGTCCGTATAAAAAGTATCGGGAAAATAGATTTATTTCAGATATTGCTACAATGCCTCAAAATCCTTCAAAATACATCCCTTGTGCATCGATACACTTTTGCCAATGGCGTTGCCATGACACGAAGGCTCTCTGGTAGGCGGATTCCGGAAGGTCCTTAAGGGTCCGCGTGCAAGCCTCTTTGACAGCACTCAGGGTCCCATGATGGTGCCCTTTGAGGGAGGATTTCACTTTTGGGAACAGGAAAAATTCTGCTGGTGCCAAGTCGGGACTGTAGGGGGGTTGGGCTACCGTCACGATGCCGTTTTTTGTCTTTTTTATCTTTTGTGGCCGACAGAGTGTGGAGGATGAGCCCCGCGGTGGACGGCCGTCGACGTCAAGAACCGACGACAACGTGCAACGTGTGCGTGACGTACTCAATTCAGACCGTCGGTTAAGTGTGCGCATGATTGCAGATCGTGTTGGCATTGATAAGATGACGGTGCACACCATTATCACTGAAGACAAAAAATACAAAAGATAAAAAAGACAAAAAACGGCATCGCGATGGTACCCCAACCCCCCCTACAGTCCCGACTTGGCACCAGCAGACTTTTTCCTGTTCCCGAAAGTGAAATCTTCCCTCAAAGGGCACCATCATGGGACCCTGAGTGCTGTCAAAGAGGCTTGCACGCGGACCCTTAAGGACCTTCCGGAATCCGCCTACCAGAGAGCCTTCGTGTCATGGCAACGCCATTGGCAAAAGTGTATCGATACACAAGGGATGTATTTTGAAGAATTTTAAGGCATTTTAGCAATATCTGAAATAAATCTATTTTCCCGGAACTTTTCCCGGTGCTTTTTATACGGACCTTGTATGTTTGCTTTATACATCTGATGTAACAAACTCATAAGAGTACAGTTATCACATTATTTTGCTTTGAAGTGGATTCTTACAAGATGTATAGAGCTATTTATTTTGTTTCAGAAAACTGGGATGCATGGAATGGAAGAAACAATGAGATGGAGAGCCAGCAGAATGAATATGAACCACATTGTGAAGATCCTGATTTCAATGCAAGTTGAACACAATTAGTATGAGTTGGCTGTTTTAGATGAAACTGAAACTAAGAATTGTGTTTTAAAACTGTGTTCCCGCGGGTTGGAGGACTAATTAATACATGCATTTCTTCCACTTTAACTTCAAGCTTCTGGTGTGTTGTCAAATTGATTCATTTTAATGATGCCTCATGCTTTGTGTTGACCTGTCATAAAGATAAAGACTGTTGTCACCTAAAAGAAACAATATTTTGATCAGTGCTCAGTTTCAATTGGTTCCCTCATTTGCACAGTTTCTAGACAACTTCAGCAAGACATGGGAAAGTAGTTAGTGTGGATATTGATAAAGTAATAGATAATTCAGGTATCAAATTAAATTTAGAGTAAATGGCACCATGACATAAAATATAGATCCCATTAAGGTCTACAACTTTGTTAAAAATCTTCCAATATGAATGTTTTATGAAAGACAAAGAAAAATAATTTCTGACGCTCTGTAGTGTAATGGCTTTGTAACAGTAGGTTGTATCTGCAGAACATGAATGTCAAGATAGTGAGGTATGCAGAATTACAAAGAATGTGTTTTGATATGAATGTAAGCCATTCGAGTACATATTTCCACTCTTGTTAATTGCTTAGGCAGTTTGATTTAACAGTTCCTAAATGTGTTAACATTTCAGTGTGCAAGCCTTTCCCATTCCTAATAACCGTTTGTGTGTATAGTACAGATTCATGCAATATATTCCACATTCAACTGGATGCTGTACCTGCTTGTAGTATCAGAAGCCAGTCTTTGACATTCATTACATTCCATTACCATTTTCTAAGGTGTTCATACCAGGCCAGTAACAGTGGGTTATTCAAACCAGCATGAGAGCTGCCACATGACCTAGTTGACTGTAATTACTAACATACTGTCCCCTTCACAACAGGAAAGTTGTATCTAGATTTAGCTGTAACAGGTACAGAGTGATATATGCCTCCCCTCAGTGTCTGCCACACCTTTATAACCATGAGAGTTTCTGTGGCAGTATACAAAGTTTTGAATTTGATTTGTAGCTCACTCTGTTAACAGTTTTATATAACTATTGCTGTTGAGTTAACAAAGATGTATATTAAGCAATGAAAATCGGTTTAATTTTATTAGCATTCAAAAACAGTTAAGAAATGGTGGGACAAGCATGGCTTTCCATCTGTGATGAAGTACAGTGGTAGTTGCAATTAACATTCCTTTGGGCATCTGTGAATTCGAGCACTAAACTGAAGAAAACCTTAAAAAATGGAAATTTGACACACACAGATAATTTACTTGGAATCATTGAAACTGAATATTAAGTGACAGAAAATCTTAAACCAAGAGTGTTAAATAAGTGTTAATTTGTATGTTCAATTTATTTCTAGATGGACTGTGACTATAATCCTGCCAACCAGCTACACAGTGAATTTATCCAAGCAGCCAGCAGAAAGAAGAAGGGTAAAAAAAAAGGGAGCAAGTTTGCACAGGTTGTCGCAAACAAAAAACCAGTATTTGATTTCAACAGTCAGACATTTGATCAGTATATTGATGAATATTACAAACTAGATTTTGAAGACATCATTGGAGATATGCCTTGTCGATTTAAATACAGAAATGTCATACCAAACAGTTTTGGACTCTCAATTGATGAGGTATGAAACAGGGAAATGAACAACTTGGTGATATGTGCTAATATGTCTGTAAATGTGGTGTTTATAGTAACTTCCATTCCAGATTCTGAAAGCTGAGGACAAGGAGCTAAATCAGTGGTGTTCACTTAAGAAAGCTGTCCAGTACCGACCTGAACATGTTGAGAAATATGATATTCATGCATACAATAGAAAATCAAAAAGTGAAAATTTGAAAAGAAAAATTTTCAGCAGTCTTTATTCAGAGTGAGTAACTAATACTGTACCTGAAAGGATTCTGACGATGGTGTATACTGTACTTCTTTTGGCTTGTTTTGGACTTCATCCATCGTCTGGTGTGTAAAGACAAAAGACCACAACATTTCAGAGACTGGCAGTGATTGAGACTAGCTCTTTCTAACGGGCCCAGCTGAGTAGGTTTATCCTTCCCTACCCACCTGAAGATGGAGACATATCCAGTCTCCGAAACATCATGGTCTTTTGTCTTTTACATACCAGACGATGGATGAAGTCCAAAACAAGCCAAAAGAAGTATAATACTGTACCATTGAACTGTAGTAGTAGTATCATCATCATCATCATCATCATCATCATCATCATCATCATTTGAATAACTGATGTACTCTCCTCTATATTATTTTCATCATAAGTTTAATATTATTACCTTATTTATTCTCATACCACATATTGTTTCCTAAAAATGATTCCTTTAAAAAATCAGGATGGATATTGTATTTGATAACTGTCGTCCAAGTACCTTTCATTTTCATTAAAAATCTTTAAATCTATAGTCATAATGTTTTTGGCACTGGTTCAGTGTAATATAAACGACGGCAGGCATTTGAAGTTATATGAATATTTCTGAGACATAAGAATTGCAGATTTCAGAAAGAATGCAAAGTGAGGATCAGAGTTAGAGCCCAACTCAAGAGCATAGAGCAAGCAGTTTCATTTGATGGATTCTTGTGTGTAACATAATGAAGGAGACTTCACAGTATTTGTCATACACTGTACGTACATTTGGTAGTTCTGTCAAATATGTATATCAAAGTGAGGATCATAACCTACTGAAATAATACCTCCTTTGGGGGGGGGGCTTAATTACTTATTACTTACTGCATGGAGCAGAGTCATAGAGAAGCCATTATTCACTAAACTAGTCAAATTTCCCACATATTAGGGAACACTTAAGATTAACTACTGTGTTCACAAGTACCCCAGCTGGTGCCTATCTTGAGCTGGGTGAATCTGTTTCATGTCATTACAGCCTAATCCTGAAAGATTCATTTTACTTCTATCCTCCTGTGTATGTGTAGGTCTTCCAAGTGGTCGCTTCCCCTCAGTGCTACATCTGAAGTTCTGTATGCATTTCTGATCTCTTCATGTTACATGCTCTGCCCATGTCATCATTGGTCACCCCAATTATACTATATTACTTTAAATGTAAGGAACACATTTTACACATTTTTCCCGTTGAAATTTGAGATGCATTCGAGGAATGTGCACCTTTCTAATTTTTTTTCCTAAAACCCACATTCAAAAACTGGATGCCTCTTATATTTGAAGTAGTCACATGGTAGTAATGAAGAATACAAATTATGAAGCTCCTGAAGAATGCCGTCTTCTGGGATATGGCTCTGTGTAGATCTTGTATGAACCGACATTTTGGAGGAACATCGGTTCACACAAGTTCTACACAGGGCCGCATGTCAGAAGACAGCATTCTTCATAGTCACTGCTATGAAAACCTCAGATCTTATATATGAAGCTACTGATTATGCACTTTTCTCTTGTTACTTCCTCTAAGGTCCACATATTCTCCTCAGCATGCTGTTCTACTCTTAGAAAATTAAACTATTTGAGGGGGGTGGTTTGTGAAGCCTGGTTTTTTATTCTGTATTTCATCGCATGGTTCATGCACACTTTTTTCAAACATTTGTAATGAAATCTTAGTTAATTTTTTGTACTAGGACTGTGTAAAGTAATTTATCACGGTCTAGTTGACTTCTATATGAAGTAAAAAATTGGCAAATTGAGGGCAAGATTAAAGAAAATTATGCTGCCAATAGAATACATAACAAACAACCAAGCATGAATTATCAGCAGTGATGAAGAATAATGAATGGGTATTTACTGATGTCTTGCAATAAATTATATTCTTATTAATGTATGGCTTTGACTTTCTCATTAGTTTACAAGTGCTATGAAATTTATACTGTGTACTTGCTTAAATGTAGTGGCCATGACAAAGAAAACAGATGTTCGGTGTTATGTATAACCAATATGATATTAGTGTTAATAATGACAGTTTTAAATTGTTTGTCTGTTGGTGGTGGAAGGAGGGGGAGCCTGACTGGTCGATTGTGTTAAAGATAAAGATGAAAAATACTGTGCTTGATCCATAATTAGTTGCCCTCGTGACTGAATGCAACTTAAATTACTTACAGGGAACTCTCAGAACAGCAAACTGAAAATGAAGAAACAAAGAGTAAACGTAAGAGGAAACACAAGAAAGAAGTAAATAGTTGCAGCAGCGATGATGTTGAATTACATGATGATGTTAAGAAGAAAAATGTAGTGCATAATTGCTCCGTGCAGTCAAGTGGAACAGGTGAAGCTGAGGGGCTTAGTGTTGACAATAAAAAGAGATTGATTTCATCACATGACAGTAATGACATACAGAATGAGCAGTCTTCAAATACACAGAAAGAAAAGAAGAAAAAGAAAAGGAAGATCAGATCAGAAGAAAGCAATGAATTCAGTCATGTAACACATGTAGAGACTCTGTCAGTTCCATTACTGCCTAAGAAACATAACAGTAAGAACGCTTGTGGGAAAAGAATTCAGAAGGTTTCTTGGCAGAGTGATCAGTCTAAAAAACAAGAGAATCCTGCCATTTCAGATGCACGCCTCAGGGCATATGGGATAAACCCTAAGAAGTATAAAAATAAATTGAAATATGGGAACAACTGAGCTACATTTGGTGATGTCTGATATTCGGTTTAAAAGTGAATGTATAAATTCTTTAAAACAGTTACATTGTCATGGGAGCTGGCATAGCACAGTCAGTATAGTGACTGGCTATGGGCTGGATGACCGAGGGGTCGGAGTTTGAGTCCTGGTGGGGGCAAGAATTTTCTCTCCTCCAGGTCGTCCAGACTGGCTCTAGGGTCCACCAAACCTCCTATCCAATGGGTACCGGGGGCTCTTTCCCCAGGGGTAAGGTGGCAGGGCCGTGAAGCTGACCACTCACCTCCAACTAGTGCCGAGGTCAAGAAAATGTGAGTCTATACATCCACTCCCCCATACATCTTCATGGTGTAGTGCTTAATTACTTAAGCATAGGGACAACTTTACCTTTTTATGTTGTCATGTGATAAGAGTGACTATAGATGAGTTTTGGATTGATGAGCGGATTTATTGGATTCTTTGATACAGCGCGTGACTATACTTTACAGTACACTGTTACAAATATAGACACATGCACTTAGGCGCGGGCCCATGCGCACAAACACTAGTGTCCATAGTTACATCTTCACTACCATTGCTTGGTAGTGGCTTCAATGCAGACATTCCCCTTCCTCTGGGTTCCTGAACACTCCCTGGCCTCAGCTACCAGCTTCTAATAGCAACAGCTAACGATGACTGAACTGCACCAGTTCTCTCGCTAACTCACCAACCGACTCGACTAACTTGTCCTGCTTATAGGATCTCTACACAGACCACACACATAACTCTGTTCCTGGGCCGCTGTCTGGTAATGGCTGTTGTATATTTTGTGGTTGCTGCCCTAGCAATGGATCTACATGCCACAGTATATTTTTGTTGACATACAGTAAATGTAGTTATGTTACAGTTTTGCTAGAAAGAATAACCTGGTGAGATAAATGTACACTAAGTGAGGCACATCCAAGTTCAGTTTGGAAATACTGTGACAGCATTGAAATCAGTAATTTCATTTAACTAGACACAGTAAATAAAAAAATGATTGGAGAACCTTGGTTCCCAGGATTAACATTGAAAACATATTAAATTTGGATTTGTATTGGAATAATGAATAAAGGATACATACAGCATTACTGCTTGATAAGACTAGGTACTTCATCTCTATCTAGTGTTGCTGTACACTTTACACACGCCTTAAACTGAGCAACATCCATGTCTGGAAGCCCTGGAGCTAATACACTTACGTGTTTTTACTATATTGTGTCTTGTTTTACTTCTTACAAACAAATGGTCATAACTCCTAAACTGTAAGTGATGGACCAAAATGGAATGCATTTTTGAGAGGCTCACATTTATTTAGATATTTCACTCACAATATGTCTGACCCATCTCTTACGGTTTAGACGTGGCAGGCGGTTGAATGTCTGTAAAATTAGGAAAATAATTACATGTTTTGGTTAATTGTTTAAATAGTGTACAGTTTTAATTTGGGAATAAAATAAAGATCATTTTTGGATAGAACAGTCTTTATTCTTTCCTTTACATACAACTTTTAATATAAAATACACCATAGGTCTCGAGTTATCGGCGGTCACGTAAGAGGTTGCACAGTTGTTACTCTCAGTGTCACCGCTTCATCCATTTGCACCCTAGCATAATAACTTTTTCAATGTTAAAAAAGTATAATATTTACTAGAATTACCGAGTTTCTGGACTTTATTTACCATCTGGATGAAGTCCAAAAGTTTAGTAATCCCAAGTGTAATACACCATTATCAGAACCTTTAGAACGTAAGTTACATTAATGCATTTTAATACTGAGGCCACACACCATGCTTTAGAAGGAAACAGGTGTGGAATACCACAAGACATATTAATATAAAACTATAAATTTGGTTTAAACACAAAATTGCATAAATCAATCATCTATAGTACTATTTACATGACTATAATATTTTGTTCAGAATACTCATATCTGATGTCACCTACAACATATTTTGCAAATAAAGTGCCTTTTAAATTTGTACTGATTCTCAGAAGGCTGCAGACTATCACATGTCTGTTCTTCCAAGAAAACTGGTGCATTGAAGTATAAAGATAATAGCAGATGTGTGGTGAACTGTATGTATAGGTCATTTTTAGAGGTTGCCTTGTGGTTGTACATGAGAAGTAAGAAGTACGGCAAAAAGTAATGGGGCAGTGGTTGTGCTGAATTGTGAGAGGGAAGGTGATTTATGCACTGTAATTAAGGCCCTGCTATAACCCAGGCACTCACTCATGTCTAAAAACATTACAGAATCTGGAATTAGAGAGCTGAATGTGTCCACATAAACCACAGGTATGTGGAATGGTTAAGTGTTTGAAGTTTGAAGCTGACAAAAGATTTCTTTTTCTAGGGTGTGTGTAGACTAAATGTATTCCAGTAATGCATGGCTTATTGCTGTCTGACACTGGATTTCAAATAAATGCAGATCATAGGAACAGTCAAGATTGTCAACATATAGTGAGGCATTACTGGTTGACTAGTGTTTTGGTCTGTTCCGTGTATAGTGATTGAAAAGATTACGACAGTGAGAATATATCCCTGTACATTCCCACTAGGCAGAACAGTAGTAAGCTAGACTGAAACATCACTCTCACATAGTTACTTGAAAAGGACATATGGCTCCAAAAAAACTAATTTATTTAGTGTAGGAGCAAGCGGCCTACGCAGTCTAGGTGTAACGTTCCCACCTCATGACTCAAGGTACGTGGGTTCAAACCCAGTGGAGGTCGTGGAATTTTTAAGGGCAGAAAAATTCAGGGAACAAGTCCTCCGGGAGGGACTTTAAGCCGTGGGTCCCATGTCGTAGATTTATGGCACGTAAAAGATCCTCATGTCTCTAGGAGACCTCTGAGCAAAATTAGGCAAAATGTTTCCCGCCCAAGTAGTGTCCAATGCCTCTGGCAGATGGGGAAGCATTGGGTACCAGTGTCAGAAGAGGGCCGACCTCGCTGGCAGAATGGGACTGATGGTAAGCACCAGTAATGGTAGGGTATGGCGACAGTAGAAATTAAAGGGGGACATACAATAGACTAGTCGCGGTGCATGGGGAAACCCACCCCCTCCAAAAATAATAATTCAATTCAATTCTTTATTATTAATGTGCCGAGTCAACAGCCGCAAGGCCAATTACAGACACAGCACAGTGCAGCAGATGAATGAATTACATTATAGACAAACTTATTAAAAGTCAAATACAAATTACAGGTAAGTACTTGGAAGAAATAATAATGAATAAAAGTAAACAAACAAACAAATAACTGATAATTATAACAGTAATAATAATTTCATTATCATTAAACTAAGTGTTATTAAGAATTGAGGAATGAAACATAAATATTTAATTAAGAAATGAATAGTATAGATTTTCAGAGGATAATAATAATATACGTAATTCATTTTGTTTTACTGGACATGAAAATAATAAAAATACTAACAGTTATACTGTATTTAAAATTTGTTTGGGGAGAACATTCCTGGCTCTGAATACGTCAACATCCCTGCAGACAACATTAGCAGCTGCTGCGCATCTAGCAGAGGAACAATTTTTAAATAAGGAGCAAACATTGAACAATGCAAAATCTCTGATATACCGAGCAGGAACTCGGAGACCAACAATTTCCAGGACAGAAGGGCAGAATTTAGAGCCAAAATAAACTTGAATAAGAAAGAGAGCATCAAGG